TGGAGTGTCAATCAACTGGCTTAGTGTTAACGCTGACACCAGTGAGTCCATACAATCTACGGCTGGGCGTCGCAACTGTCCGACTGGACTGGCCAAGTGTGTACCTTCCCTTTTAAAGAGTAAAACGGTAGTAAAAACAACGAATAGATTACGCTTGATTATTACCTAATTAGTTGTAGATAGCGATTACAAGATTATCGAGATACAAATTTCTCTTTCTCACGTCGAAACTGATTATGCACAATAACTGTTGCTAATCTTCAAAAGCTTCGCAGTTTAAATTAGGTTAAACGATTAAACGAATTAACTCCGATCATCGGATCGAAAGTAAGATCTCATTAATGTGATGGATGGGAAATTAAGGCCTGTGAAGAAAAGTTGACGATAGTCTATTATGCATATCGTTATTCGAGAAAGCGTATTTGTTTTATTTATAAAAGAACAAACTCATTCTAAGGTGCAGTAATATTTCACTATCTATGGTAAATTATTTTTTTATTTTAGGAATTAAATTATCTTTGTATTAAATAAATGATACTAATATCTTACTTCTTACTAATATCTTCTTAATATTATGAATGCGAAAGTTTAGATGGATGGATGGATGTTTGTTAGAGTTTGTAACAACGGTTGAACGGATCTCAACAAAATTTGATACATATGTAGAGGCTAGTCTGGAGGAACACGTGAACTATGTACCTACTTTTGTTTTTCTATTAGTCATAAAAATATATATAATTATGTATTAATTATTAATAATTAATTTAATTTACTGCCTTATTATCGCAGTCAAAGTTAAGTAGTATCTTTAGTATAAATTACTATACACTAAACCAACACTTAACGTTACGTTTAGCAACCAATTAGTTAAATCGAGCACTCGTATCCCTAGGAAGTAAAGAAGGATCCGTCTATGACGATATCTGAATAATCATAGTGACGTTTTGTGAACCTAATTGCAGCACGTGATCGATGCACAAAAGACCAACGCATAATTGAGTCGGAAAATTGTCACTTACAATTGAAACTGGTTTGAACTGCTTTCTATCACGGCTTGAGGAGCTATTCCGTGGCTAAATATTTTTAAAAATGCACGTAACTTTTAACTCAAGAAGAGAAAACATTACCACGGAAGTATTTATATTACTGACGAGCTGTCGCCCGCACTTCGTTAGATCAAAATCTTTAAGTCCTCTATCACATTCCCGCTTGCATCTACCTTCTACCAGCTATTTTTCAGTCAAAGCTCCATCAAAATCGGACCACCCGTTAAGCCATTTTACAGCGCGAAAATATAAGTAGCCTATAATATGCCTGTCTATGTCAGCTACCCTTCAGTGAAAGTCCGGTCGAAATAACTCCAGCCGTTTCGGAGATTGTAAATATCAACATTGTCCCAAAACCTACAAACGGCTTACCGCAACTTATTTGATCATTGATGTATGTAGTTTATTAGGTTTATAGATTTCAAATTTCCGCTCAGAAACGACATATTATTTACAAGTTTTAAAAACTCTAGTTGCACTCAATACATAGCCAAATGGGAATTTCAAAGACATTGCCGCTAGCGGCTCATAACTAGTTAGTTATTAGAGAAACGACAAAAGATAAAGTTTTTGAATTTAATTGTAAAATGAATACGAACGACTGTACCGAGATGCAATAAAACGACTATATGTTCCAAAACATAAACTAAACATTGTGAACAATTAATTTTAGTGGTATTTTATAAAAAAAAATTGAAGGATGAAACAAAAATAACTGAGATTGTAATAAATATGTTTTCGAAACATTTAGCAATCCCTTTTAAATAAATTTCAAGCGTATTTTTAATTAATTATTTACAACATATTGATGTTTTGGTACAGGTTAATGAAAAAAAATCTTGAAATAAATTCTACTTTGTTACGTACGCTTTTATATCAAACATTAGCCTTCCTAATATCTAATGGTTATGAAATAATTAGCTCATTTAACGCTATGAGTTTTGAAAACAAAATATGATATCATATAAAGAGGCGTGCGATGTACAGAAATTAACAGATGTGATGTCAGTAACCCTATTTGTTACGGCAATCGGTAATTTTCCTAACGTATTCAAAATAGCCATGACACCTAACTGATATTTATCAAATGTTTTCTTATTCACGACTATTTTATTATCATACTAGCTTTTGCCCACGACTCCGTCCACGTGGAATTAACAAAAATCATAAGTAAGTTGCCTATGTGTTCTTCCAGACTATCCTTTATATCTATACCAAATTTCATCAAAATCCGTTCAACCATTTATGCTACAAACTAACAAACATCCATCTAAACTTTCGCATTTATAATATTAGTATGAAGTAAAATTAAACATATGTACAAAATTGAGCACCACCGGCTGCGAAATCCGATGACTCAAGCAACCAGTGGCCAGAGCTGCAGAGACAGGAACCTCCTCACAATGCGTGCGGTTTCTAAAACTGAAAAATAACCGCCTTTTGAATTAGGCCCTTAATCCAACTGTCTAGCGAGAGCTTCTTGAGATGTTGTTTGAAACTCTTTGCTATTAGCCCATGCACCAAAATAACTATTGGCATAATGGCACTCGATTTCACAATTGTTATTTAGTAAACCATTCAAAGATATGTGTGAAATAAAAACCCGCAGTGGGGCGCGTGGTTGATTATGGTCTAATCACCTCTAACTTAGGGTAGACTCCGAGACTCTTAATAGGGACGTATACAGAGCTGGTGATGATGACGATGTTAAAATTCAACTCGTATGATCCACTTAGATCTAGGATATCTGTATTGAATAAGTTATTGATTTATTATCTGTACATTTTAAGTTAATTAAGAGGATATAATAAAATAACAGTCTCGTGCAATATCGTGTTTCATTACAACCTGTTCCAATCTTTTTGACCGACTTCCCAAAAGAAGGAGGTCGGTGTCAGTCAATGTAGATTCATTACTCAATTGTTACTATACTTTCAATTGTCAATTATTATTGTAAAAATGTGGAAACCCTTACGTAGAAATATCACTGCATACCTTGGCTGACACCGACATCAAAGTAATAATAATTGTACAATATAGACATAACAGTTACAATAAGGTAGGTTTATTTTGTTTTGTTTTTAGTGTATTTTGTTTTGTTTTTAGTGTATTTTTGTAAGTATATGTTGAAGTTTGTATATCTATTTAAAAATATAATTGTTTGTGATACTGGTTATCTGTACTTTGTAAATATTTCAATCCTATGTCGCAATACAAGCTGACAATTTTAGTTTAAACTAAATCTAATGCTTAGTGATGTTTATCCTATATAGCAAATCGCTCTGCGGTAGATTTGCGATTGCAAATTGCTCCAAATCATTTGTTCAAACATTTACACGTACAAACGAAATATTGTCACGATTCTCTTTGTGTCCAAATATTGCGTTACTATTGCGAAGAAAGCGTTAAAAATTGTCTATTAAATGGAAGAGCGGTTCTTGAAAGTCGATATAGACCGGTAACAAATTCTCTTTTATAATTTTCTAACAAAGCGCCATCAAAACCTCGACGACTTAAGCTTGCTTTTAATTTTATAACGGACGTAATTGTAATGAGAAATGTAGTTTCACCTCATTGTTAAGATTAAAAGTTACGATGCAAATCCGTCTATCGTTACAATTGTCTGGTCATAATTTTATCTTATTTTACAGTACAAGATAGTTTGGGTGTTACAGTTTATAATGGTTCGAGTATCTAAATCTATTTAGAGAATATTAATCTTAATAATGTATAGAAAAATTCTTTTGACATTTATGAACATCACTAGCTTTCACCCGCGACTCCGTCCGCGTGGAATTAAAAAAAAACTAAGTAGCCTATCTGGAAGACCAGACTATCCTCTACATCCATACCGAATTACATCGAAATCGGTTGAGCCTTGGTTTGGGCTACAAACTCTAACAAACATCCATCTAAACTTTCGCATTTATAATCACATATCTTTATTCTCTTATTTTTATATATAATACATTTCACATGATTTTCTTAAAAAAATAACAAAATAAAACATATTATATAAAAAATAGAAGTCCACCGGCTGCGGAATCCGATGACTCAAGCAACCAGTGGTCAGGGCTGCAGAGACAGGAACCTCCTCACTAGTCGTCACTAGTAGTAGTCGTATATTATTATCAAATATGATCAGAGTACGCACAGAGTATAAAACAATTTCTTTAGACATTTTGTTAAGCGAGATCAAAAGAACTAGTTTATCCCCATTACAATTTTATTTTTAATTTTATCTGTCACAATAAGCAATAAACTCTAAAATAGAATGTTAAAATAAATATCATTTATCTGTGGAATCTATCAGATAGTGTGTTTAATCAAATGAATGTTGATTGGCAATTAAACACGAGTGTCAAAGGGGCCGCGAATGCTAATTGCTGTTAGTAATAAAGGAGTAGCGCATGCGATGCCGTGTGCGTTTTGTAGGAAGTGCATTTGATGTATGCGCTTTTAACGTTCGGACGAATTATATTACATAACCAGCTTGGGGCCGCGACTCCGTCAAAAACAAAAGCGAGTTAAAAAAAACAAACGTAAGTATCTTATGTGTTCTACCAGATTAACCTCTACATTTATGCCAATTTTCATTAATATCCGTTCAGCAATTTCGGCTACAAACTCTATCAAACAAACATCCATCGAGCCAAGTTTCGCATTTATAACAAGGTAACAACAAATCATAAAGGCTGATTTAGTCTTGTGTAATTTTCTATGCTAAATAAAGCACTTCTTTAAACATAAAAATATTTAGCATTCCAACTAAAAGATGAAGAAAATATTCCTTACGTGAACAAAATCGATTCGTCTCTGTTAATACAGATTTCCGCGTCCTCCGTCGCTCCGCTTATGTCCTGTGTCCTCAGTCTGACTGGGGTGACCCACGAGGACAAATTGTAGGTGTGATTACGTACTGTTAAAGTCACTCCAGTGCGCGCTTGTCAGGACTCCATGCCACTGGCAATGTTCACATTAAAAGTTTGTAAAAAGTACTGGCCACTAAAACAATGAAATTAACAAATTAAAAATAAAAAGTGAAAATAATTTGAATTTAGAATCGGAATTGTTTTATTCTTCTGTTGTGTTGCTGTTCGATAAGTTGTGTGTAGATTAATTTATTTTTAAGTGTCTCTCTAAACAATTGAGGTTATTTTTATTGACACGTGAGTATTTTAAAATAAATTACATGTAAGAAAAGTATTTTTTAACAATTAAATCCATAATGACTAGAAATAAATTTCAATATGTTGAATTAAATTAGTTAATTGATGTTTATTACATTATATTTCAAATGCTCTTCAATTTTTTTATCTACATTCTCAAGTCAATATACCGTCCGAAATCCTCGAACGAAGACGTCTGTGTTACTTAAGCCAATTGAGCCAAACATTACACCCAACCACACGTGACCTATCACATTCCTGCCAAATAAAACACTGTTAACTAAAATGCAAAAGAAAACGTTTCATCTGGACGGATCAAGTTATACTGGACGTGTTAGCTGTCCAACACTCATGTGTGTATAACTCTGATTCCACGTTTCCGCTCAATGCCCTATACTATTAGTGACGTTAATCCATTTTGAACCCTAAAACTACCGAGTAATGATTGAAATTACATCGATACAAAATTAACTATAGAAGAAAAGGAAATAGATTTTTAAAAAGAAATAACTCTCGTATGTAAATTCAACAGTTTGTGCATTTGGAGACAATATTAATATATTATAGACAAACAATATTAATATATTAATATATATATATATAAGTCGGTAATAAATCGACAGTAAATATTACCTCTTTTCTGAATTTATTTTAAACCAATACACTATCGGTTTATATTTGTTTGTTTGAATATGAATAAATACTTTGAGATTACATTATTATTTTCCCATTTTAATCGCATGATTTAACACTAACATTTGGAAAAGAAGACATTTTTTTTATTGTTTTGTTTAATCAAGAATTAAAACCAATCAGTAGACACACACAATAGGCCAATATTTTCAATTTCATAATATAATGATCACTCTTAAAGAAAATAACATAATATTACAACTATCGATATCTATACTTCTATACTAATATAATAAAGCGTAAACACACACTTCTTTGTGGCCTAAGATGTCAGCAATTACAGCATATTCTTGAACAATTCTTTCTTTAATAAAAAGCACTACACTTACGACACGCTTTAGGCTAAATATTTTCACGCCATTAAACTTTAAAGGTAAATATATTAGAAAAAACTTCATGGGGGAAAGGGACCATAAACTACAAGCTGCCAACATTAAAGAAGCAATGTTATTATGGTAACCGTAACTTTGACATTTGCAATTGAGAATTTGATAAATGTAAACAAAAAAACAAAGTTTTTATAATTACCCGCGGATGAAGCCACATAGGAACAGCTAGTATATTATAAGACAAATGAGAACGTATTATTTGCTAGACTGAAGTTTAATAAATGTTGCAGATAAATGACATTAATCGAGCGGCATGGCAGCGTGGCACAGAAGTGGGTTGAAGTTAATTGCTCTCCTGATGTTCTGTGGAACAGCTGATGTTGACGGGAGTATGCCGGTGGACTTGGCGGCCGATGAGAAAGGTACCCTTTGATTGCCTTTTTACCAATAATATTATTAATAATACCATGATGTAAAAGCCGAGAAATTAATTGTCTACCCTACACCGAATATCAACACCAAATTTCATCGAAATCCGTTAAGCCGTTTAGGCTACAAACTCTAACAAACATCCACCCATCTCAACTTTCTATTTTTAATATTAGTATGATATGCTTGTATTTTTTTTTTCAACTAGGAGGGTAGGAAACTTCTAAACAACTTATTGTTTAGAAGTTTCCTACAATAGTATCCCAAACTAACTTTATCTGATTCTGAAATAAATTGTCCACGCATTTCTAATGGTTAGAGTGGGCACACCTTTGACTAAACTATCGCACAAGTGATGTGCGATTGTCGATTGTTTTACAACACATTTAAGTTTAGTTGCACACCTCACATCAAGTAGTGTGTGCACTATATAAACTCATAGGAATCGAAGAGCCACTAAACAGTTTTGTGATAGTTCACGGATGCCCGCTCTAAATGTTTCTCTTTTCAGCATTACCGCAAACGACAGTACAGCCGTCATCAACATTATCTAGTGTCGCTACAACGAACATCTCAACATCTACGTACGCCACAAATATACCTCCGATACCACCCAGCGATAGAGACAGATTCCTCACGTTCGCGGAGTCCGGACATCATCAGACGTTTATGTTCGCTAAAGATAATACATACATACAGTTAGATGGTGATATCATACAAAGGTTTCAATTAAGGTAAATTCAACAGACATTTAAACAATATAGATGAGGCATAGTTAACTTTTTCACCGGTACTTTCTCTGAAAAGTACTATAGTTGTCAAGTTTAGTGCCACCTCGTGTCTTTATTGACATGTAATAAAACTTTTTAATATTATATTAAATTCCATCTTTTGTTGTAAAATAGACTAAACATTGTTACAAAAAACCTATTGGCATTTGTTTTTAATATAATAAATTGAGATTATGTAACAATGCAGTGTCCACTATGCCTCCTCTACATATCTTTGAAACTCTTTGGAATTAAACATTTTTTTTTACTTATTTTTAATGAAAGTATCTGTTTTATGTTAGTACTAGTGTGTACTGATGATATTACTGTAAAAATTGTTTTATTTGAAGTACATATACTTACAAATTTATTGAATTGCATGAATAGGTCGATTCACTAAGCGGTTTAGCGTTGAATCTTTAAAGTTATAACCGTGAATAGCGAAGTAGTATACTAGCTGTTGCTCGCGACTTCGCCCGCATAAAATTAATAAACAATAAAAATATCCTATGTTACTGATAACCTAGCTTTTTAATGGTGAAAGAATTGTTGAAATCGGCCCAATAGTTTTTGAGATATTACAATACACCCGAAAATACAAAATTAAAATCTTTTCTCTTTATAATATTATATTTATATTTAAAGTATAGATATAGATTAATATTCCAGTATATTGCTCCTTTAAGTCAAAGACAACGCAAAACTTCTGTCAATATTAAATTGTTAACCACGATACAAATATTGTAAAATTGTCTCATATGTTTCAGGCTATGCAGAGAAATTTCGTTCAAATTCCGAACAAGATTACCTCACGGACTTCTGGTGTATCACAATGTCAAGAATCCTGTTTTCAAAATGCAACCGTACGCTTTATACGTGATCGTGGAGAAAGGAGAGTTGAAAGGTAAGTAAAAATGGTTAAAAGAAAAGTTTTACGTAAAAAACAAAACTTAATATTAACCTTCAAACAGATGTCAATTCATTGTGACTAAACTTCGTAAGAGCGCGTGCACACAAAGGTGGACTAGTCGTGCGATAGTCTAGTCGCAGGACAAAACTATCGCACAACTGTTCAGTCTCGCTTTGATTCCTATGAGCTTATATGGAACGCACACTAGTCGATGTTTAATTGTGCAACTAAATAATTGAAGGTTGCGAAACAATTGACAATCGCGCTACAGTTGTGCGATAGTTTAGTGAAAGTTGTGTGCCCGCTCTAATGCTGGTAAAACGAATGAAAATACCTTCTATGTTATTTAAACCTTACAGGACCAAAAGATGCTGAAACTAAATATGCAAATACAACAGTATTATGGGTGTAAACTATGAGAATATCACTAGAAAAACATTCAAACATAGTTGTGTATAGATTTCCTATAATTCAATGTAATAAAAAAAAAATCGATTCAATAATAATTGAATAATCGATGACGATTTTTTGTAGAAGGGAACAATATTTCCCTTGAGCATGAAAGGGTAACTAGACCTAACCTGTAAAATTCATATGCAGACGTAATAATTATGTTACAGTAAAACCTCGACAACTCAAACCTCGATAACTTAAAAAAAATATGTTCCCTTCTCATCAGAGCCCAAAACATAGACCCTTGATAACTTAAAACTAGATATTTGTATTCCGCAAATATTAAAACGTTTCGAATGTTTTCCAGTTGTCCACGTGTTTGGCAAACATTTGACGTCAGTGACAGTTGGGCGCGCGCTGAACAGGGACCAGTGGCACAGCGTCGTCGTCACTATAGACGTGCACGGCGCCAGACTGATCGCCAAAGTCGACCAGCTCAAAGAAGAAGTTTATTTAAAAGTACGTAAAACTATAATTACATATGTTGAGTACGATTTATTACATTTTATGTTGATTAATGGTTAGCTAAGAATATTTGATTTTTTAACCCTTAAATGCACGTTTTTTGTTTCAATAAAATAAATTGAAACGGGTAGTAAATTGAACTTAAATTAAGAGAAAAATAAAAAAAACGATTTTTTAAAAAAAGTCCATTACGTAAGGAAGAAAAGACTGATGTATAAATGCAATATGTATTTAAGGATTCAATTTGGCTCATATTTGTTTACGTCTTGTATCTTTTTGTTGTCACTTAAAGAGATTGTAAAATTGTCTAAATTTAATATAATTTTGTATAGCTTAGTTCGCTTGAATTATAACTAGCTGTTGCTCGCGACTTCGTACACGTCAAATTGAAAAATGTAGCTTTTTAATGGTGAATATATTTTTAATGAAACAAGTTCTTTTTAATTATTTCAATCCATACAAAATACAAATCTTATATTTTTATAATATTAGTATAGATATTTGTGTAAACAGAGATTTTAAATTAAAAATTAATTTCTGTTTTTGGCACAGGGTTTGAGTTTCGACACAAATTACGGTATCACGGACAACCTGACCTCTGTGATTCTAATTGGAGGTAAGTTGATATTAATTACATCTCTCTAATAATCCTTATTTACCTAGTATTCTATTACCATATAATATTATACCTAACAGGTCTATATTGTATCTACAATTTAAATACTGCGTTCTTATTAAATTACATATTTCTATTAATTATTTTTGTCGCAAACTTACTCTTAGAGATGTAACAATTACATTACTTTTTTTGCTTGTAAACCTGTAGAAATTAACTTTATAAAACGCGTTTATAATACTACTAGCTGTTCCTGTGCGGCTTCATCCGCATGAAATTATGAAAATTTTATTCTATTGTTTACATTTGTCAAATTATCAACAGCAAATGTACAATGACAAGACACTACAAACCTTGTCAATTTTGCTTCCTTGATGTTGGCAACTACTTATGGTCTCTTTCCCAGGGTTTTTATCTAAAATATTTACCCCCTAAGTTTAATGGCATGAAAATATATAGCCTAAAGCATGACGTAAGTGTAGGGCTTTTTATTAAAACAATTATTATTGAAAAACATGCTGCGATTGCTGACATCTTTAACAACAAAGAAGTGTGTGTTTACGCTTTATTATAATAGTATAGAGTATAGGTAAATAAAAATAAATAATTCTTTACAGGTTTAAGTTCCGAAGAGAAACTACATGGAGTTAAATATATTATTGAATCATTTGTCGGTTGTATCAGCGATATGGTTTTAAGTTCCGGCAAAGCGGCGTCAGACCTGCTCCCCATAGTGCCTTTGATCGCTACAAAACATGAAAACGTTAACGAAGGATGTTCTGATAAATGCAGAACTGTAGAAAACCTCTGCTTCGAAGGTTCCAGATGTATAAACGAATACAATGGATATAGATGCGATTGCTTTGGTACTTTGTACGAAGAACAGTTATGTGATGTATTTAGTAAGTATATACTTGTAATTATTCGATTTGCATGAACATTTGACGATTAAAATGTAAATGTCTATACCGATGTTATAAAGAAATATTTGTATTATTCTATTTTTGTACCTATTGGAATAACTCAAAAACTACTGGGCATATATCAAAAATTATTTTACCATTAACTAGCTATGTGACTGAGTACTATAGGTTATGATTGTAATTTGTAATTTCACGCCAACGAAGTCGAAAAAAAATTACGATCATGATGTTCTGTGGTAGATAACAATGAACTCACAATGTTTGGCTATATTTAGGGCCTCTCCCACTAAATTGTAAATTGTCTGATAACAATCCAACGTGTAAAATATGTGATGCAAGTATCGGATTTTGTTCACTTATCGAACAGTGACGTCATTTTTGAGCTATCTGAGTCTCTATCATCAGGGACGGGCTCTTAATATTAAAAACCTTTAGGTAACACTTATTTCACATCTATTTGATACTAGAGTAGATTATAGTATGTTCCTCATTTATTACCAGTATAAATAAACCTAGTAATTATGATTACGGTAAATTGTCAACAGACGTCTATCAATAGCCATTCACCGTTATACAAAACGAATACCCAATACATGTAACATTCTACTTATCTAAATAAAACTGGTTGTGTCTATTTTTTACCTGTTTCACTAATAAATTCTAGTTTAATGTGTTGTTATATGTCTATAACCACTTATCTATGTGCTTAAATTAGCACTTCCAGAATATCTAAGTCTGGTTTTCATCAAATGTTTCCCTAATTATAGTATAAGGTGACAGACAAACTGTCTTACAAAGAGACTGTTTATATTCCGATGTGTAGAACTAACCTCGGACAGCATTCGCCTCTAATACGAAACTGTTACAATTTTAATAGATTAACTGAATACATCACAAATAAAATGAATCTGTTTGGTATGAACTTAAACTTTTTCAAGAAAAATGTCAATATTGTTTATGATAAGCTTAATTCATACTTAATTTATACTTAGAATAAAATGTAGATTATAGGTTTTGAGTTCCTAAAATTAAATGTAATATAAACCTAAATCTTTTAATTATAAATAATAATAATAATAATAAATAATAATACTAGCAAATGTCATTTACACCAGTATTTACATATATGTAAGAAACGATAACAAAAATAAATAAATAAAAAAGTAAAGAAATAAGTAAACAACAAACAAGAGCCCTCTGCCCATGGACATCCACATTTGCAGATGCATAGTAACATGACGCATAGAAATAGGACATTTTCCCTTATTTTACTAGTGTATAAAAATCAAATAGTTTATGTATATACTGTAGTATATCTCCACTTTAAATAATCATTTCACTCGCTTTCACAAATTGTAATCGATTTATAATTATGATTACGTGATCATTCTGTTCGCAGCGGCGACAGCTCTGACGCTGCGAGGCTCCAGTTACGTGTCTTATCGGGTTTATGATTGGAAGGACCGCGTGCATTCTACACATACAAGAGTCAGCCTGCACTTCAAGGTATTATTTTATTACAGTCACATACAATTTTAAAGATTTTTTTTATATATAACACCTAAATCCACCGAAGTGGAAAGCGACGGCTGCCCATAAACATTCACAATTGCAGATGCGTTGCCTACCATTAATTGACGGAAGAGGAGACGCACAGAAAGAGGACACTTTTCCCCTTCCTATGCATCTCCTCCACCGTCAAATCTACTTTTCCTTTCCATCCTTCCATATTAAGAAAAGGGTGGAAAGGGAAAAGGAAAGTGGAAAGGGAAAGGGGAAAGACTAATATTAGGCCTCCGGCACCACACTCATCAGACGAAACGCGAAAATGCTTCCACTTCATGCCTGTTTCTGTGTGGTCGTGGTATTACACCGGGTGGGCCAAAAAACAAAAGTAGCATTAGTATACAGGGATGATTATAATTTAAAACATTACGAACTGCGATCGAACATTAAGCAAGTATCGCTTAGCAACTGAAATAATATTATTTATTTAAAATAGATACAATAATAAAATTATCTTAAAAGAACATTTAAATGTCAGACGTTTTAGCAGGTTTCGCTAACACGGCCATATTATAAACAACTAAACGACCTTTACAGACTCGTTTCGACGATTCAGCCTTGTTTTACGCCAGCGGTCAAATAGACGACAAAAATCACTACATCGCTCTCTCTATTCACCAAGAAAAGGTAGCCATACAAATAGACTTAGGAGACGGTCCTGTAGAGGATTATTTAGGAGAGAAAGTTAACAATAACAAATGGCACAATCTGACAGTCATATTGCAAGAAAAATACGCTTTTGTATACCTCGATGACGTCACAGAGACGTATGAAGTACCAGGTAACGCCAAATACGTTTGCATCGACCCTGAAATTTATATATGCGGAGGTCCAGATCTACACAAAATGAAAGGATTGCAATCTTTCAATAACTTCGCTGGTAATTTGAAATACGTTTATTACAATGACGTATCGATATTATATGAATTGAAGCAAAATAATCCTAAAGTTCATTACATTGGGGTATTGGATCCGGAATTTGAGGAGTTCGATATTGAGGTTATACCGATAACTTACCCTTTCGCAACGTCCCATATATGGTGGCCGTTGAATCAGAGCAATAGCATTAATTTGATTTTCGACTTTAAAACAAGTAAGAATATGGCTGTTCTCGCTTACAGCCAGATAACAACTGGACAAGGATATTGGGAGGTATGTAGTCATAGTATCTATATTATCGTGAAATTTCAACTGTACCAATAATATGATATTGTACTCTGTGCAGTATACGGTCCAGTACGCCCTCTATAGTTTGAGGATTTTTTCTGCCATAATGATTGCTTTACGTATACAATTTTTCGTTAAGAATATTTACTCTTTTTCAACATTTTGACCAATAAAATACTTGTATTTGTTCCTAATGTCGGATATTCAAATTAACAAAGCGTACTTAAGGATTACATAAACCATCGTTGTATTTAAAAAACATCTAAATCTGTAAGTAAAAACTTATTAATGTTGATTCTAAAAGCTTCCATTAGTACCTATATTTCTTTTCTACAAAGAAAAACAGATTATTTCCCACATGTTAAGAACATAATGTTTAAATATACATTTGAAATTAAATTTTATGCTCCTTAGTTAATATACGATGCAAGTTGTCACCCAAGGTCTTCGTGTAATGACACGTAGATCAATAAAAGTATAAAATCACGTTCATGAGATAAGCACAAGTAATTCTGTTATATCTATTTTGCAATTTATAAACAACTTATGCATGATTTCATATTGAATAAATTAACAACAAACAAAATAAAATGTCCCGTATAAAGAAATCTAAAATTAAATAAAATAATCAAATTTGCATTACACATTGAATAACAAATCGTTTAGTGGAAACTTTTCGTTTCTGTTTTAACTCCTGTAAATGTCAACCTTGAAAAAACTAAGGTGACGTTCATATTAATAACTAGCTTTCGAACGCGACTCCGTCCGCGTGCAATTAAAAAAAAAAAACAAAAGTGAGTAGCCTATGTGTTCTTCCAGACTATCCTCTACATCTGTACCAAATTTCATCGAAATCCGTTCAGCCGTTTAGACTTCAAACTCCAACAAACATCCATCCATCCATCTAATCTTTCACATGTATAATATAAGTACGATTTTTTTTTATTTTAAAATTACGCCATTCCTCACATATTTAAAAAAATAGTTAAATAATTTTGAATACGTGTTCCAGTCATAGAAATTTAATAATTTTAACATCAAATTTTCATTTGCTTTCAGGTTAGAATGGTGAAAGAAGAAATAAGATTTGAATTAGTACCAGATATAGGAACGAATGTAACCGTACTAAAATCAGTGAAATTCAACGTTAGTAATGACTGGCACACCGTGGAACTTGACTATAGGAAAGGAAGGATTAAACTGAGTGTTGACAATCATAATAAACATGCACAAATGTTCGGTAAGACATATAATAAAAACTAGCTTTAGCCCACACAGAAAACAGGCGTGAAGTGGAAGCAATTCCGCGTTTCGTCTGATGAGTGTGGTGCCGGAGGCCTCATTTTAGTCCCTTTCCCTTTCTACCCTTTTCTTAAGAGGAAAGGATGGGAAGGAAAAGGCAAATGGATTTGACGGTGGAGGAGACGCATAGGTAGGGGAAATGTCCTCTTTATCTGCGTCTCCTCCTCCGTCAATCAAGGGTAGGCAGCGCATCTGCAATTGCGGATGTTTATGGGCAGCGGTCACTTTCCAATTTGGTGGATTCAGGTGGCCGCTTGCTCGTTTGCCATCTTATATTATAAAAAAAAAACCGAAGGGATTAAAAAAAAACATAATTAGTTGGCGATTTGTTCTTGCAGACTATGTTCTACAACTTTGCGAAATATCAATGTAATCCGTTAACCTGGAAACATAGTTTATTTTTTTAAAAGATTGTTGCCTACCCTGAATGTCCAGAAACTTAGTTCAGTCTATATATAACCCTCTGCCAAATAACATTTATTATTTAGACTCTTAACAATACCCATTTTAATTCAGAATTTACCCAAGCAATAATAAGGTTAAAGTCAATTTTAATTAACATACAAATAACATTGAGTCCTCGAAACAGGATTGGACTTTCAACTTCAAGATAAAATAGTAATTGGAAGCGGATTAAAATCTGCGAATTTGGGCTTGATCGGATGCATGCGGAACATTAAAATAAACGGCCTCACTATAGAACCAAGGTAATACGCTCGCAATTGGTACATTTAAGTTTTAAGGAACGCTGCAAAACTACGCATAATAACTATTAACTAAATTTTTATTTATTTAATATGATTGAATATGGATGGCTAGAAAGGTAGAGGATGGCAGAAGAAAGAATGGATGGATTGTGTGAAAGAGGATAAGCTTCAAAAGGGAGTGGATTCAGATATGACGGCTGCTAGAAATGTATGGAAGAGCAGTATATTCTATATCGACCCTTAATAAGGACAAGGGCAAGCAGATAATGAGTTTCCTACTTAATCTAACATAGAATATTAAAGTCAAACTAGCTTTCGCCCGCGACTTCACCATTGAAAATATTCTTCCAGGTTATTGTCTATATCTAAGCCAAATTTCATCATGATCCATTCAGCAGTTTAGGCTACAAACTATAACGAACATACATCCATCTAGACTTTCGCATTTATAATATTAGTGAGATGTACAATGTTTTTCAAAACTTCTAAATACAGTGACTACAATTAGTCTTTGAACGTTAGTTACTAAACGAATTGTTCTTTTTTTTCTTTTTCTTGAATTCAATTCAACTCTATTAATATTGTAAGGTTCGTGATCAACACAGAGAGAGTTGTGGGCGAGGTGGCGATAGACGACTGCCGCTACGTGGACCCCTGCACCAGACCCAATACATGTGAACACGGCGGCATCTGCTCTATCAGAGAAGATAGAGTTATATGCAACTGTGATAATACTGGTAAAGTTTTACTTGTACTCAGCACCTCTTAATAAAATAAAATAAAATAGAAGTGGACAAGCAAAATAAGACAAGGACTGAAGGTGGACTGAAACTGGTTCATCAAAATTAACAGACTTAGTTTTTATTGACGTGCTGTTTTCAAATTAAAGTATAATACCATCAAGCGCCTGATTTTAATCACTCGCAAGATTTGAAATCCGAATTATCTCTTTTTTTAAATAAGCAAATATTAGTAGATTTTTGTAAATTTACTAATATTTCTTTTAACCATTCCCAATAAGCTCTAGGCTTGTGCTAGGTTATGGTTCACGATAATAGTCAAGGGACGGGATTCGAACCTTCGACCGCGAGAACGGTATTCCGTACCCTTAAACATTAGACTATTGACGTCTAAGGGACTGTTCCACCACTGGCTGATAGAGGCTCAGATAGCTTAGAAATCACTATCAGATAAGGTAAAAAAATCCGGTATTTCCATCACATATTTTACAAATTAGATTTGTCAGACAATTTACAATTTGGTGGGACATGTCCTAAGTATCTTTAAATGTGCTGTAAACAAAAATATATAATTCCAGGTTATATTGGAGAGAATTGTCACTTCGCGACGTTCAGAAAGACTTGTGAAGAATTAGCATTGCTGGGATATACAAGGAATGACGTCTATCTCATAGACATTGATGGCAATGGGAAGTTCCCACCGGCACATGTCAAATGTGAGTTCCAGATTGAGGCGGATTCATCTACCACTGTCGTGGAACATAACCTCCCAAGCCAAGTGGTAAGTTACACTGTTCATTTTAAAATACCATGTTGAAATAAAAAAAAAAACACAATGTTCGTAATTACATTTAGGGCCTGTCCCACCAAATTGTATATTGTCTAATAACAATCTAACCAGTAAAATATGTTATTGAAATATCGGATTTTGTTCGCTTATGATAGTGAAATCATTTTTAAGTTATCTAAGCCTCTATCAGCCAGTGGTGGGACTGGCCCTTAGTAGTCTTAACTTCTATTAGTATACTTTTAAACAAAACTATCTTTTAAAATTATAAGATTGGATTATACTTCAATTATTTTATCGCCATTGTTAGTTAATTCAAATTAATCAAAATTGTATATTTTTGCAAGTTATCTTTCAAGGTTTAAGATAGTTTTTTTATGCTTAATTCTATACATAAAAGGTTGCAAATTTCAATTAATACTTTATAACTAGAAGGTTTAAATTTAAATTAATTGTCTTTACGTCCACATCAGTGATTCATTCTTAAAACCAATTAAAAGTTACGATAAGACCAAAGTAAAAATATTAAGTAAAATCGATATTTTCCAATAAAGCCCTTTAACGGTTCTTCAAGCACTTTAAGCCGCGGGGACTTGCCTGCAAATTAATTTTAAAGCCTTCATTACTTAGCATCGAACTTGAATCATTTTCTTTTTCGTATAAAATCTATATATTTAAGTAACATTTCAATTTAAATTAATGCAGTCTTAGGGTGAGTTGCACCATATCGCCGGTTACCGTTAAAGTTAAAATTATTTGAAATGGTAATATTTGGAATAATCTTAAAATTTACTAAGGATGAGTTACATCAACTAACTATAAACCTTAACCAGCACATTCCCGATGGTTACGTCTTCGGATGTTCATGATATTCGCTACACCAGTTTTGCGCTGGTCAAAATGACGTCATATTTGACACTAATCATAACCGCCCGATTTTGGGCGGTTACAGTTAGCGTTACGGTTAGTGTCAGTTCGGTAGTGTCAACTGTCACAAGCTCTTATCTTCAAAAGCACAAATAATGGAAAAAGTAATGGATAAAGAAAATATCTACTATTATCCTATACGTAATCCAGAAGAATAAAGTCTTGCGTGCTCGGAAATAATGGATTTCCAAGATGGAACTCGAAATTTGGCCAAACATTCAGTTTGGACAAATTTCGAGTGTCTAGGGCCATAGCAACAGCGCTTGTCCCTTTTCTCTTATTTAAAAAAATGTCCTCTATAAAAGGTCAATTTATAATATGCATTGACAGGACAATTTATAATATGGAAAATAAATAAGATGCATTTATATTTGTATAATTTTATTGCTTCATTTTTGCTACATATTTGAGTAGTAAAGTAAATACAGTTTCAATAATGGCCCAAACTAGTTTATTTTCACAAGAGTTTGCCATTTTCTCCATCTTCGTGGGCAAAAAGTTTATTTCACTATAAAATACCATGCGTATGATACATAAATGTAATCGGCGAAACATGAATTTCCAAACATTTTAATTTACGTAAATGTCATTCTTGACACCAACTTGACACTTTAGTGACATTCAGGTTTAAATGTTTCCATTGTAAAAACGAAAAACACATAAAACCTCTGTGAGAATATGTTTTTGCACTTGTAACCCTATTATAACTTTTACGATAACCAGCGATTTGATGCAACTCACCCTTAATGTTATATGTTTTTAATAAATGTTACCTCAATATATTTGCATCTATGACGTAAACTCTGACTTTCCTTTTAAAAAAACTTTATGGCTTTAAAGTCTGCAAAGTTTTAAAGGTCAATACTTGAAGGCGAGACGTGTGAGAACAAAACATAACTTAAAAGCACACAATATCAAGTCTAATTTAAGTTACAAGTTTCTTTTGTAAAACTTTATAATGATATTTTTTTGTATTGTGTTTCATAAGGAAACAAATTAAAATATTACTAACTAGCTGTTGCTCGCGATTTTGCCCGCGTGAAATTAAAATAATAATAAAAAATGTCTATGTTACTCACAGAAAAATTACCTTTCTAAAGAATTTTTGAAATCGGCCCAGTAGTTTTTAAGTTATTTCAATACATACAAAAATACAAATCTTTCCTCTTTATAATATTAGTATAGATAGACGTATAAAGCAGTTATGAATTAATAGATTTCAAAATTTTTATTTAATTTTTTTTTTTGTAAAAATATTAGTAGATTTTTGTTAATTTACTAATATTTCCTTTAACCATTCCAACTAAGCTCTAGGCTTGTGCTGGGATATGGTTCATGGCAATAGTCGAATGGCGGGATTCGAACCCTCGACCGTAAGATCAGTAGTCCGTACTCCAAACCATTACGCTATTTGTGCTTAAGTTGTCAATATTAGTACTAGAATTGTTTGTAGTTAACAATATCCAATAACGATGCTATGACCTTACTTTTTATAAGACTACTCCATCTATGTCTAGGCCTTATTTAAGTCCATTTCTCTTTGCCAACCCTTTTCTTATAAGGAGAGGATGGAAAGGGGAAGTGGATTTGATTGAGGAGGAGATACATAGGAAGGGAAGATGTTCTCTTCATGTGCTTCTCCTCCTCTGTTGGTCAAGGGTAGGTAACGCATCTGCAATTGCGGATGTCTATGGGCGGCGGTCGCTTCGCCATTTTGGCAGATTCAGGTGGCCGCTTGCTCGTTTGCCATCTTATGTTATAAAAAAATGTACAAATAGCAATATTAGAAAGATGCCTTTTTAAACTATTCTTTAAACTTTCCAGGATGTGCGATCGGCGTCAGGTCAAGACTTCAGCTTTAAGATAAAGTATAGAGAATTCTCAGCTGAAATGATACAAGAACTGATCTCTCATTCTTTGTTCTGTCGTCAGTACATCAAATACGACTGTAACATGGCGCCTCTGGAACTTCATAGTGCTACGTGGTTTATATCTTCTTCGAACGATACCGTAGACTATTTAGGAAATGTTAAAAGGTAATTCTAATATTTTTTAATTCTTCATCACTATGCTATCTAGAAATGTACTCCTAAACCGATGTAATTGATTTTTTTGCTTCTCTTGGACATCTCACTAATATTATAAATGAGAATGTTCAGACGGATGGATGTTTGTTAGAGTTTGTAGCTTAAACCGCTGTACGGATCTCGATGAAATTTGGCATATTTGTATATAGATAGTCTGGAAGAATACATAGGCTATTTTTTTATAATCTTACGCGGATAGAGCCATTGGTGATAGCTAGTAAAACATAGGTACAATACAAAAAAAAACTAAGAACCTATTTATAAGATAACTAGCATTCGCCCACGACTCCGTCCGTGTGGATTAAAAAAAAAAAAAACAAAAGTTAGTAGCCTATATTTTCTTCCAGATTATCCTCTACATCTATGCAAAATTTAATTGAGATCGTTCGGCAATTTATGCTGCAAACTCTAACAAACATCCATCCATGTAAATTTTCGCATTTATAATATTAGTAAGATAACAATATAAGACATCCAGTCAATGTTAACAATTGAATTGAACAAATGAATCCTAAATTTGCAGACCATTCGGTAGTTTTCCTTCGGCCCTCATATCCGTTAATACGACCCTTAACCTTCCTTAAATTTTATCACCGGTACCTTTTCGAGTCAATAATCACAATCGGATAAGGTCGATAATACTTAGCGAAAATTAAATCGTGAATACCCACATGCGATTACATCCTGCGATCCTTTTTATTGCTAATTTGATGGTCTTTAGCTGTTACAATTTCTGCACGTTTGACCTTTTACCCTTATATGTATTGATTTTATATACACTTTATTGCTTCCAGAGTTTATTTATTATTTCTTAACTACTACTTAAGACACTGATGTGTTACTTCTCATATATAATTAAATTTAATGAAATATATGATTATACCTTACTAGCTGTTTTTTTGTTTGCGAATTCGTCCATGTGAAATTTAAAAAAATTTTTAAAACATATAGCCTATGTTACCCTCTGATAATGTTGTTTTTCAATGGTGAAATAATTTTTGAAATTGCCCCCGTAGTTTCTTAACTATTTTAATTCATACAAAAATACAAATCTTTCCTCTTTGTAATATGAGATATGTAAGTAATTTTTTTCTTATATACAAAAAACAAACCACAAGATAATCACGAAGTAATAACACAAACAAACTATGCTTTTCATTATCTTATTTTAAAATTAAACTTAACCTTATCCGGGAGTAATGCTTTCCAAACATTCATCGGAAAGAAATTTAATTACCAGAGGCTACTGTCCGTGCGGAGTGAACGCGACTTGCGTCAACCCCACCAAGTCCTGCAACTGCGACGCTAACGAGAACAAATGGCATGCGGATGAAGGCATCCTTCTAGACCCGAAGAGTCTCGGCATCACGGAGATGTTCTTCCTGCAGCAGAAAGATTTGACAGAAGAAGCCCAGGGTAGAATCACTCTCGGGCCTTTGGAATGTGTTGAGACAAGTATGTAAAAAAAAATTTTTACTTATTTTTTTAAGTCAAGTCGCCTCCAACCTGATGAGACAGTGCAAATGATAGTGGTGTTTGGAAAATAGAGTAACTTTGATTAAACAACGAAAATAAATAAATCCAGAAATAACCAATTTGTTGAATTGCCTTTGAAGAAATAAGCTGGTAGATGTAATTGACAAAATCCCTTTAGTTATTACACAGAAGTTAAACTATTTAAGATCTTATTTCTTACACAATTGGTATTTCCACGAGTTGATAGAATTATATAAGACTATTTTAAAGTTAAAAACTTACACCAGTTGACCCTTTATTTCAACTTTCATAGGATACATTTTGAAGAATAGTAAAAAAAAACCTAATAACTACATAGTTGGTCTGAAGGTCGCTTGAGTAAATTTTGAAAATAAATCCGCTATAAGATATTTCCATATAGTTTTAGCCTCATGTTTGTTTATATTAGACCATTTTTAATTTTTGATCAACATAATGTTCTATTCACCAGATACTCAGCGATACGTCGTAACATTCACAACTTCGCAATCCTACATCGAAGTGCCCGGATGGAGGAAAGGAGATATTGCCTTCAGTTTTAGAACAACCGGAACCAGCGCCATCTTGTTGTTCCAGCCGCCAATCAGACCAAACTATCCATCATTTATGGTCGCTTTGACTAGTGGTAAATATAAGAACAATTTTTTGTTTGGATCTGTTTAAATTACGACTAAATACACTCAAGAACGTTGAATCCGGGTCACTTAAAAAACCTAAAAATTTCTTAGACTGACAATGCTAGATTAATGAATTAATTAAATTAAATATTCTTTAAATCAAGGTATTATTACTTCTTAGTTTCTCTCTCCTACATAGAGGAATGGAGATATTAACGAGGATCGTATAAGAAACTTGGTGTACAGCATACTAATGGAAAGACGAGAAGCCAACTCAAACACATTGAAATTCAAAAAAATCATATTGTTGTACAATAATGTTAATTTATTTCTTTATTAAGCTAGCATTCCTAGTTTACGAGATTAAGGACCAGTTCCACTGAATCGTAAATTGTCTGATAACAATCCAACGTGTAAAAATGTGATGGAAATATCGGAATTTGTTCCCTTATCTGAAAGTGACGTCATTTTTAAGCTATCTGAGCCTCTATCAGCTAGTGGGACAGGCTCTTATAGTTTTGTGTTTTCAGACCCGGATTCAATGCTCGTGTGTAGTAACAATAAACCAACCTTGTTAACTTTACCTTAAATTTGCGCGGATTAAAAACATATACGTGAATTGGCAGACCATGTTATAAAGTATCGGTAAACAATATTTCTCAGCCGAGCCTAAAAATGTTTCGAATCTGTAATAAATTAAACAAATAAAAACACAAAGGTTCGTTTTGCCAGAGGTTTGGCAAAGTATTACACCTCGCGGGAGACCGCTGTATGGAAAATTTCAAACATATTTCAATGTTTGCAAAATCCTTTGTGTACTGAAATATAACAAAGAGAATACTAGTAAAAACTTGATACGAAAATAACACGACATTCATAAAACCATTAGCTGTTGCTCGGGACTTCACCCGCAAAATTAAAAAAAAATAATAAAAAGTATAGTCTATGTTACAAATAAGATTTTCAATGGTTAAAGAATTCTTGGAATCGGTCCAATTTTTGACTTATCTATACTATTATAATAAAGCGTAAACACACTCTTCTTTGTTGCCTAAGATGTCAGCAATTACAGCATATTTTTGAATAAATTCGTTTTTTATAAAAAGCCCTACACTTACGTTATGCTTTAGGTTACATATTTTCAAGTCATTAAACTTAGTGGTAAATATTTTTGATAAAAACCCTAATGTGGGAAAGAGACCATAAGTTGCTGCCAACATCAAGGAAGCTAGGTTGCCAAGTTTTGTCATGTCATGTCATTTTGACATTTGCAATTGACAATTTGACACATGTAAACAATAAAATAATTTTGTGCTGATGAAATCGCACGGGAACAGCTAGTCAATATACAAAAATAATATATACAAAAATACAAATCTTTCCTTTTTATAATATTAGTATACATTATAATTAATACTACAGATTATTAAAACTGACTTTTCAGAAATCTAGTATTAATAAATGTTTACTATACGCTTTTCATGTCTACAATATGATCAGGATTACTTTAAAATTGTAACATTTTCCTAAACTTTAGTTAATTCACGTGTTAAGGATATCAAATTAAAATGCCATTTTCTAACTATAAATTCCTGATTTCCAGAACACGAGCTGACCTTCAACTTCACACTGAACACTGGCACTACGAGGAAACTGGTCATCAACTCCAAGAGAAAGCTGAACGGCGGAGAGTGGCACAAAATATGGATAGATTACAACTTCTATCACGTCCGATTCATGCTGAACACAGAGTACCAAATGCTGAATTTACTGCAAGAAGAAGAATTCGGACCTTTCGAGGGGTCAATGTTTATCGGAGGTGCTACTGCGTAAGTTGATTTGTTGAATTAAATAAACTTACGTTGTTCCATCCTACAATCTTGCTAATATTATAAATGCGAAAGTTTAGATGGATGGATAGATGTTTTGAGAGTTTGTAGCCTAAACAGCTGAATGGATCCCAATGAAATTTGACATAAATGTACAGTAAAGTCTGTAAGAACACATAAGCTATTTACTTTTTTTTTAATTCGACGAGAATGCAGTCACGGGCGTAAACTAGTCTAAAACAAAATTCACAATATTATTCTAGTTTGCATATTTTACCTAAAGTATTCATAATAAGTAAAATTGGTGATGCCGTTTGTTGAGACCTAAAACAAGATAATTCGCAAGAGCACAAAATTTATATAAAACTATATTTCCAGGGAACATTTGAAGAAATCTGCTGTACATCAAGGTCTAATAGGCTGTTTTAGAGGTTTAGTCGTGAACGGGGAAGTTCTAGACATATACAGTTACATGTCTGTGCACTTGTCTGAAATCATTAAAGACTGCAAACCCTCGTGTGTACCAAACCCTTGTCAGAATAAAGCGACTTGCAAAGAACTCTGGTCGACTTATGAATGTATCTGCAAAAATCCCTGGGCTCATCTCGGTGTGCATTGCGAAGAAAGTAAGTATTACACTGATCTTACTTATATTATAAATGCGAAAGTTCAGATGAAATTTGGCACAGATGTAGAGAATAGCCTAGAAGAACACATAGGCTACTTGTTTTTGATGAATTCTACGCGGACAGAGTCGCGGGCAAAAGCTAGTTATACAATAATATACAAACAATGCTAGGAAAAACGTTAGTACATATTCTAGAGACTTCTAAGAATTGCTTCTTCTAAATCTTATGAATATTCAGAAACAAACTTAACGTTATTAAAACTTTTCTTCCTAAAGCCAACGTAATTTTTTTCTTGTGCGAATAAATCAAATTCTAATCACTTACATTAAACTATCAATTCAACGACGACAGATGAAACAATGTTACAATCATTAATAAAATTATTTATATCCTTCCTTATCTCGAGATATTACGATAATAAATTTTACAGCTTTTATAAATCATCGCAGCGGACACTTTAGCAATTACATAAAGTAATGGCTTATATTATAGGAAATATCTTGTATGCACAATAGCAATTATTACGTACGTAACATCGTGTCGAATCCTAATTGATGTTCCGCACCGCGTAATGTTCAAAACACGTTCCACAGATATAAACGAAAAGGCATTAACATTTCAAACGAAAGAAGCTTATTTAAAAAAGAATTATTTAGTCGACAACGAAACAGACGCTGAGAAACATAGATTGAAGAAAATGATGACGGAAAATGTCCTAATGAATCTAAGAACATATGACGATAACGCCTTAGTACTCTATGCTAATGATAATCTTAATAATTTCATACATTTATTCATTCACAATGGAACACAAATTGTTTATCTATTCAATGATGAAGACGAAATTATCGAATTAAATGTAACTTATGATAAAATAAATAAAGGAGAGAGTGTACAGATCGCTATCATCAGAACAGAAAACACGACAACTTTACACGTGAACGATAAGAACAATACAATCCGGAAAGTAGCGAAACTTCTATCAAACTATACCAATAAGCCTTGGATTAACCCAGAATTAGGTAAGTTTTGTTCCCGGAACATCTGAAATTTTAGCTTATCTCTAATGTAGTCGCTGTAGTTGTGTAAATAGAAATTGCGAACTTAAACTCGAGTTGGTAGTTTACGTTTATTGTCTCACCTAAATTTGTGTCGGGCAAATTTTAGTTTTACAATTTCAAAGTACTTGAAAAGGTTTACTAAGTGAAACGCGTTACAACAAAGAGAAACACTGATGGAATTGTGTCTTGATAATACTTGTAATTGTTCACTCTATTTAACAATAAATAATTTAAAAAATAGCTTTATTATATACGCATATCTAATTCTTAGGAACAAGGCTGGTTTGTTTATAATAATTTAATGTGACTTTTATAATATATCTCGTAAGCAATATTAGCATATATGGTATTTCAAAATTATCTATAAAGTTAATTTTTATTGGTTAATATGTATTACAATAACTAAAAAACTACTGGAGCGATTTAAAAAAAATTTGCACCATTAAAAAGCTACGTTATTAGTGTGTATCATGGGCTGTATATATTTTTTATTATTTTTAAATTCACGCGGACGAAGTCAATAGATGTGCAATAGGTTGTACTTAATATTTTTAGAGGTGATACGCCCACAACGACCGCCAGCGCCACCAACAGATTACTTCCAAATGAACCTCGGAGGTTATGATCCATACTCCTTACATCTGGCGCCGAGAGCCCACATTTTGCCGCAAGGAGGATACGTCGGCTGCGTCAGAGGATTCAAAATAGCAGACCACGTTGTTGATCTGTCGAGAAAAGCGTTGCAAAATATAGACCAAGGTACTACACAAAAAAACTTGAACAAGCATCTAAATTAGTTCTTATCTTGCTAGTATTATAAATGTGAAAGTTTAAAAGGATGGATGGATATATGTTTGTTAGAGTTTATAGCCTAAATTGCCGTACGTATAGTACGGATCTCGATGAAATTTGCTACTTTTTTTTTTATTTTTATTCGGACAGAGTCGCGAGCGAAAGCTAGTTGTCAATAAAAACTACCACCAGACAGACGTAGCAATATTCCAGTATTTAATAAGCTATTTAGGTTTTATGTTTTATAATTTCTAAGAAATCCCGCACAGTCTAAAGTTTTCAGAATTTAAAATCTTAGTAGGTTGTTTTTAAAGCTTTAATCAGGATAAGAAGCTCTACAAAACTTTAAGCAAGAAAACAACGTGTTATCGTTGTTGTTGTAAATACAGAAGCCAAGTCTTTCACAGAAGAGGAGGAATAAAGTTACGTTAAACAAGTCTGTTGTTCATTTAAATTATTTATGCAGTAAAGTTACCTGATTATAAATTTTAAAGGCTGCAATGTTTTTTTGTTTAAAATTTTAGCAGACATTTGTTGATTCACTAATATTTCTTGTACTATTCCAACTAAGATATAAACTTGTGCTAAGATGTTGTTGATCACCCTTAATTAAACATTAGAAGTCTTTCTTACAACTTCATTTCACTCTGTTATACTTAGTAATGGATGGCATTATGCATTATAGATGTAAGGTATCTTTTAAAAATTAAACCTATCCACATTTTCAGATCTAACGGGAGTTCTACCAGAATGTAATATGAAATGTGACTCTGAACCTTGTAAGAATGGCGGCGTTTGTACTGAGGACTTTACTAATCAGGAGAGCAGCTGTGATTGCGAACTGACGAGTTACTTCGGAGAGTATTGTATGGAGGAGAAAGGTGCCGACTTCAATGGAGAGAGTATTCTCCAGCGGCGATTTGTTCTCTTAGGTCCAGTGCTTAAAGTAAGTATGACTTCCTTTTGATGGTTACATTAAACGTTTGGAAGTAAAATAAATTTCATTTTCAGGTAAAAATAAAATTGGCCTTTTCTAGTAATGATCTCAGACAGAAGAATACAGTTCTTTTATTGGTACAGACTGAAAATAAGTAAGTAGATATGGTTTAATAAAATATTAAATTTTTTACTTGACTACTTTAAGGTAATTAACTAATGCTAAATACTCGTATGACATTTTGTAACAAGATAGCAAATGAACTGACAATTTAATATACAACATTCATTAAATGTGGGAGGTAACGAAACTTAATGTAAACATTTTTAAGTCAATAATAAAGTTAATAAGTTTTTTAAATACATTAGTAGATTTTTTAAACAGAGACCTTTAATTTGAATGCCAAATAAGGTCTAGTCTTGTGCTAGGATTTGGTTAACGACAATGAAAACATTAGGCTATTGGCTCTTCCGTGCAATTAAGCGCGATAGTTTAAAATGTTTTTTTTTTTTAGACGTAGCTACTATTTACTTGTGGCGATAACACAGGATGGATATCTTAAGTTTGAAGAGGACAGAGAGGAGTACGCTTACGGCGCTGAAGTAAAGAATAGAAACTTTCTAAATGGTAAAATTAATTACTAATTACAAAACATAATATTCTTAAACGAAGTGGATATTGTTTCATTCTCTTGTAGTGTTCCTCGGAATTTATATCAGTCAAATTTTATAAGATACAAACGTCTTTACATATCATTCGTCAGAATAAAATTAATGTAAGTTACTTTACTTGTATACATACAAAGCTACAATATGTGATTAATAAATTGAATTTGTCGTCAGGCGCCCGCCATACTGTGTACTATACAAGAATAGGTCAGGAAGCGAAGCTCTTAATAGACAGAATAGAGGTGCCGCTCGAGAAACTCCCGCCTCAAGGCCTCTGGGAGGTGTTTGATGTGGGCTCTAACGAAGTGCAAATAGGGGGCCTCAACACCACTGACCCCCGACTTATGATTTACAAGGGTTATAACGGATGTCTATCTAGTATGTTACATTTTATCTATACTAATATTATAAAGAGGAAAGATTTGTATTTTTGTATGTATCCGATTAACGTAAAAACGTACGTAACGTACTGGGCCGATTTTAAAATTTCTTTCACCATTATAAAGCTACGTTACCAGTGAGTAACAAAGGCTATATTTTCTATTTTTTTTATTCCACGTGAACGAGGTCGCGAGTAACAACTAGTTTTACATATTAAAATTTGCTATTTAATATTCAAAGAATTAATTCCGTGATTGATTTCAGTCTGGAGTTACTATTTTTTTCTTTCTAGGCTTTGTATGAATGGCATAGAATGATTGCTTTATAACCAACTAGCTTTTGACCGCGACTCCGTCTGCGTAGACTATCCCCTATATCTTTACCAGATTTCGTTGAGATCCGTTCAGCAGTTTCGTCTACAAACTCTAACAAACATCCATCCATCTAAACTTTCGCATTTGTAATGTTAGTTAGATTTTTTATAAATTACTTAAACATAGATTTTAATGTACTAATTGTGATATAGACATATTCGTTGAACTAAACGACTATGAGATGAAACCATTAGAAGAGTACATGTTGTTCACTCGCTCTGACGCCGAGAAGGTGAACGCGGTGAACGCGCGCGGCGTGCGCAGCGCGCAGTGCTCCGCGGACTTCGACGACACCTGGCCGGAGCGGGATCAGCTCGCGACACACAATGGAAGCTTCCTTATCGTAAGTTAGCTAATACAGTCATGTAAACTACTACCCAATACAGCTAAAACGGTAATCAAATGTTTAACGGTCTAACCAATCCTCTTAAAACAGCAATCAGGTTTTTTTACGTCATAAATTGGCAAACCAGCAAGCGATCATCTAAATCCGCCAAACTGGCGAAGCGACCGCTACCCAGATATCCGCAATAGCAGATGCATTGCCAACCCTTATCGATGTAAGGAGAGAAGCACATTAAGATCCTATTTCCCCTACCTATGCATCTCCTCCAGCGTCAAGTCCATGTTCCCTTCCCATCCTTTTCCTATACGAAAAAGGGTGGCAAGAAAAAGGGACCAACGTTGGGCCTCCGGCACAACACTCATCTTTGCTTCCAATTGCTTCCACTTTACGCCTGTTACTGTGTGGTCGTGGTATTGCTGGAGGCGAGCCGACCTATTCGTGCAAAGATATTAAAGCGGGTTCTACCACTGTTATAAGGTTCTTTCAGATATAAACTCACACATTTGTTGTTTCGTCGTGTTAAAATGTCGTTGTATTCCAATGACGAAACACTTATAAAATATAATTTTATCTTTGTCTCTTAAATCATAAGGACAGTGTTTCAGTAGAAACTGGCACTAACTTTAACTTATTCCTTAACAGAGTGTCGATAAGACGTGGGTTGAAGATCCACCGGCAAGAGCACCGTACGACTCTATACACCAACAACCCGACACTGAGGAAGAGAATACAGATAAATTCTTCATAGCTCTAATAGTTATTTTCTTACTTGGACTATTCTATTGTGGTTCACATGTGAGTATAAACATAATACTACTTGCCAGGAAACCTGATAAAACTTCACGTTAATAGATAGCGTTACTAACTTCAATTTAATTCAACAGATGTGGCGGACCCACAAAGCTCATAAATTACGCTTAGAAAAAGAAACCGATGAAAATATAATGCGAAATAAAGAGAAAGCTATAAAACTGCAAGAACCCAGCGTCTCGTTTCTACAGGTACACATTTCCAATAACATAAAAACATTGAATTTTTTGTCATATTATAATTATGGTATTGTTTTTCAGCTTAATAAAGAAGATGGTGTCCAGGTAAAAGAAGAATTAAAAGCAAATGGGGTTACAATAGATATAACCCCAACGGTAATCGTGGAAACCAGCGATGAGAAACCAGTTGTCAGAAAGGGTTCTTTGAGATTTAGAGGTATAATCTAAGATTGATGGAAGCATGTCTTGTAATTAACAGAAATATACATTTCTAAGTTTAAAGTCTAGTAACAAGAATTTGGTCATCAGTCATTCTTCCGTAATTATTTGCAATAATTCGAATAATAAATATAAAATCAAACTTCTTTCAGAAATTATAGATAAAGATGTCGCTTTTGAGACATTAGAAGAAAAAGATGAAACATTAGAAAACGAAGATGACGATACTTCAGAAAATGATTCAGAAGATGACGAGGAAATAGCAAGTGAAGAGAAAACGGTAATAGCGAGATGGTTAATAAAGTATCTCCTTTTTATATGAATGAAAAACAAAATTTTATAAGCCATTACATGTAATTCTCTTCGTATGCACGGAAATGTAGAACTAACTACCTTGTATTCTTCACAGGAACCAAATGACCTGCCCGAAAAAAATAATAACGGACTACCGGTGATGACTTCGCAATCACCGTATAAAATTGATGAAGAAAATTCAATCCAACTAACTACGAGTGCCTAAATAATTTTGTAATTAATTAATGTTAATATTACATGATCTAGTGTTGCATCATTGTTTTTCATTTTCGCTCTCAAACTGCTATAAATGGATGGTATTTAAGATTCAATGTGGAAAGTATACTAACGGACGATTTAAAACCATGGGCCATATTTAGTTATATTTCAATTATTGAAGAATAATTTTCACGTCGGTATTTTGTAATGGTAACAAACACATTACCTAACGCATAATTTTATGGATAGGATACAAAAAAAAATAACCAAAATCCTGGATAAGTATTCTTATCATGCTTTCTTTACATAATTAAATATTATATCCGTAATTCATATTTTTTTCAATGAATCATGGAGGTAATAAATACTATGTACAACAGTAGTGTGTTCTTTCTGTACATCTTTCAGTTGAAATAAAGAAAATAAAACCTTATGTTAATTGCAAAAGCGAGAATTATCCTGATTGTGATTTCTTCATAAGTAATAGCTTTAAACATAATTTTCATCATATTGCAATATAGTCACCATGGCCAGAGATGGAAAAATGGTACAGTTATTGAGGTCTCGCTTGCCTTCAATTTTTCGACAAGAACTCTATCCTGTAATACATCCATGTTATGAATTGATTTGCCTAACAGTGCAAATAGAAAGGAAAAGACGCATAGATGTTTTTTAACGTTTATATCTTATCTGTGAACTCATATCTACATCTGTGGTTATTTGGTTCATTTATTGTCCTGTCATTTGTCATTTTTAATTTCAGAAGTAGGCCCATAATCCGTTTGTGCAAAGATGGAAGAAATTGAAAAAGAAAAAATAACCGCGCTTCACTCGCAATTGCTTGTTACGACAATATTCCACCCCATGGAATATGCAAAAGTTCTTATTCAACTTGGATATGAGCCGTTGCCACCACGCCGGTCGACTACTCTATTTGGTCGTCCTGCTATGATATTACCTAATGTGTTCCAGTATATAAAATTCATCAAAGCATCAGACGGCTACTTCGGCTGTTACAGGGGTTTGTCGGCGCGGATCCTCGGATTAATAGCATCGAGCCAACTCTCGTCTAAGGTAATCAGTGTGTGCGGCATCGACTTGCCCGAAATAAGCGACCCACCAAATATTATAACTGACGATGAGCCGAAATTAGAAGACTACGTGAAAATGGGTCGTCGCGATATGATTATGCACACTGCTTCCGTTATAGTGTCGTATCCCTTCCATGTCGTCTCTGTTAGAATGATGGCTTCTTTTATTGGGAAAGAGGAGGACTATAACACATTGCTTGGAGCAGTTGTATCTATTTACAAAGACGATGGTATACTCGGTTTCTTCCATGGATTGATTCCGAAACTACTGGGAGATTTGACATGTATAGCAGTGACAGGAGTCTTGGCATATTATGTCAATAAGTATATAGTGAAAACTAAAGACCTCCGTTATTATACTGTACCTATACTTACATTTATTACAAGCACTCTGACATATCCTCTTGTGGTGGTGTCTACATGCATGGCAGTGGCGGGCTCCAGCCTCAAGGCAGGCAACCCTCCGGCCATGCCCATATATACCTCCTGGCAGGCATGCTGGAAGGACTTACTCCGGAACAAGCAGCACAAGCGCGGTTCCTCACTAATCTTCAGGTACTACATAGCACCAATTGCAGCGATGCAGTAATTGCAGGAACATGAATATAACATTGCATTTATCTATGTGTTTATTTGCTTAAGTGTTATCCACGATCACCAAAGTAGAGATTCAACTTGTTGTAGAAAATTTGAATGTTATTGATAATTGTAAATACATTTAATATAAAGGTTGTACTACTTAGTACCTTTGCTAGATTGTTGACATAAAGGTGTGGTTGTAATAAATTATATTTTGTTCCTCATTATTATTTATTTATAACCAATTACAAAATAAAACAAATGTCTACTTTATTCTTGATAATGTTTGATTTTTAATAAATTCATCTACTAATTCTTTCTTGAGTACAGCTACTGCTCTTCTGTAGATTGCTGGAGTGTTTTGAGGGCTACCATTTTGTGTTTCAAAATTAATATAGTCTATCCAGACCTGTACGCTATTTGCTCCATGATGTTGGACAAGACATTCAAAACATTTTCTGATATTTTTTAAATTAAGCTTCGGTTGTGATTTCTCTATATCTATCATGACTGTGTGAACTTCAATTTGTGTTGGCGGAGTTCTGATGAATTCTTCATACAAATCTCTACTTGCTTTCAATCCGCTGCATTTATACATTTTGTTTAGAAGTTTAGGTTTAATGGCTAATAATACAGCTTCTTCGCAATTTTTAAACTTTTCATAGCAACTTTTTAACTGAAATGGAAAAGAAATTAGTGAATTTATAACAATACTAGCTTTTGCCCCCAAATAATTGATGTGGAATTAAAAATTTGTAGCCTATGAGTTCTTTAAGATTATGTTCTATATTTGTGCCATTTAAATCTAATAGATTTGCATATCAACCATTCACATTTTGAACATTAAATCATAAAATATTATAGAAATAAGAATATTAATGTTTTTTTTAATATAGTACCACTATTTTAAGAATTATTAGCAAAGAGAAATACATTTTACAAGTGGTTTTAGTGTGTGTGTAGTTATCTCTATTATCTTGAGAAAACATTTTTATCAGTCATAGCCACTACATGTTAACACTTTGTAGTGCCACTACGAAAAGTAAACTCACCGGAAAGGACTGAATACTTATATATCACCTTTTTATCTAATACAAAATGATTAAATTCAAATAAAGTATAATTTCAATAATTTACATAATTACCACCCAGCAAAGATAAATTCTAGCTTTTTTTAACTCAATATTTTTTTTCTATACTAATATAAAGAGGAAATATTTGTATTTTAGTATGTATTAAAATAACTTAAAAACTGGACTGATTTCAAAAATTCTTGCACCATTAAAAAGCTATGCTATCACTGAGTGATATAAGCCTTTTTAACAATTTTTTTACATGCGAATGAAGTCGCAAGCACAGCTAGTTATGAATATTAACATAACTATTTTTAAACTTGAATACTCACTGCTTCACTTGTTTGTATGTTGTCCAACAAGACATTCCAAAGGTGCAAATAATCTTTAGCCTTAAAAACTTTTCCAGCTTCCTTCAGTATTAATAACTGTTGCTTTTCATCTTTAGTGTTTAAAAGTAATTTTTCCTTCCATAAAAACATTGCATTCGGATTTTTAACCAATGCTGTATCTATAATCTAAAGGTATATTTGGTTAGTATATTAATATTTTTTAATACAAAAATAATGATAGATAATAGGATTATAGATGTTAATAAAAGATAATAGCTCAATTATTATAATTTTCAATAACAATGTAGCTATCCTATCAATAATAAATTATTATTTTTCTTAGTAGAAGGTTGCTAAACAAAGGAATGACCCTGTGTTAGCAAAAAGAGCGAAACTGCAACAATTGCAGACATGTTACCTTCATTTAATGGACAAAGAAGGATACAGAAAAAACATTCCTCCCCATATATTTCCCTTTCCATCCTCTTCTTATAAGGGAATTGTGCGAAGACTAGACTTTGGTAACCAACACAAAATAGATAATTAAAAAAAAATTGTATACCTGTTTAAAATCTTCAGTCGATAATGTATTTTCAAACTTCAATAACTCAATACCAAAGGCGTACATATCATTTGAGAGCACTCCATTCTCATGGCCAAACATCCAAGCTTGTTTTACAATTCTGATTTTTTGTAAATCTGTGCACAATGTGTCGTTCAGCCTCAATATGCCATGGATGAATTTTGTACATAATTTCTCATCCGGAAACTAAAAAATTACAAATACAAGAGATTTCGTTTGCACCTTTGTGAAATATTTTAAATGAATCAACCTAGAACAGTGCTAATTTAGACTATGATCTATGATAACAATCATCCATCCACACTTTCTCATTAGTCAGTTCACTAAACATTCTCACTGAAAGATTTGTAGTCCATCCTAAGTTACGGGGAACTTGGCCATAGTCCTTTATACATCTTTTAATTTTTTTGCTGAAATGTGTAGAAAGAAAACTTTGTGAGGCAACTCACAAAGTTTTCCTTCACTGCAAAAATTCTCTAGGATTTCCTATATAAGGAAGGAGTAATGAGTATTTGGATGAAGTTTAAAGATGTTTAATGTAAAAAATTCTTTAAAATTCAATCATCATCATCTTCTTATCCTACTCCCGTAGGGTCGGCGCAACAGGTTTTTGTTTTTTAAAATTCAATCATCATGATTAATTAATATTTTTAATATGATCAGCAAAAAAGGCCGATAGAAAATGTGTCAACAATTTATTCATATCAGCTGTTAACATTTGAATTAAAATAATCATTAATAAATTCAGTTAAAAATAAAAGATTAACAAAATATACTGTATACTGCATACATCATTTGTATTAAGATTAAATCAAAGCAAGATTTACTAACCCGTTGCAAAGCCTCTTCATATACAGAAACATAATTTTTAATTTCCTTTGAAAAATGATAGTCTTCATTAATAAATTCTTCAATCACTTCCCAATGGTAACCCTGAAAATATATTTATTAGTATACAGTACATTGTATAGTATCCCATACACAATAACCTAAAATTCAAACATTTACAGCTATGTTGAGTTTTATTTGTTGATAATGTGGTCTGAGATGTGTGTGCCTTATGCGTTCCCTAACAACTAGGTAAATTTCGAAGCCTTTTTCTGGCATTTTTAGGATGCCAGAGATGGTTTAAGCCCTAAGAATTACAAAATAAACTAATACATACCTCTAATTCTTTATCAGCAATGTAAATCCATACTTCTTTTTGGTCATTTCTAGACCATATCTCTTCTTTAATACTCTTGATTAGTTCCTCAACTCCACACTTCATAGCTAAATCACAAACTTTAAACAGGAATGTTATATCCCCAACAGTTTTTATACCATTTTTCCATACAACATCAGCCCTTTTAATGCAAATTTCCTGAAATTTATAATTTAACTTTTTAAGATGATAAAATGGGAAATATTTGTGGAAATAAATGTTTCAACATTATTATCTCATACTGCACATGCACTACAGAGGTAAGGGTTGGCTGTGTGAAAGTTGACATAATCATAGGGGAGTGAGATGACAGGAGAAACAGATAACAGAAGAAAGATTGATATGAGTGGTCTTATCGTCATCAACACCAGCTCACTATATGTCCCTAATGCGGAGCTTGGAGTCTACCCTAAGTAAGGGGTGACTAGGCCATAGTCAACCATACTTTTTTTTATAATATAAGGTGGCAAACAAGCAAGTGGCCACCTGAATCCACCGAAATGGAAAGCGACCGCTGCCCATAAACATCTGCAATTGCAGATGCGTTGCCAACCCTTAATTGACGAAGAAGGAGATCCACATAAAGAGGACAATTCCCCTTCCTATGTGTCTCCTCCTCCGTCAGATCCACTTTTCCTTCCTATCCTTTCCTAAAAAAGGGAAAGGGAATAAATTAGGCCAAGTGTGGGTTGATTGACTTCACATCTATCTTTGAATTTTTTTTTCCAATATGTGTAGGTTGTGACACGATATTTTTCTCCACCCTAAGAATGTCGGTAAATTATGTATACATGAAATTAGAAAATCACATCAGTACAGTATGATTCAAACCCAAGACCTGTGGATTATAAGTCAAATGCCTAAACCCTTGAGCCACTGACACTCTGTTACTGCCCTATGTAGGTGGGATAATGAGGAGATAAATGTTGTATAATAAAAAAAATTGTGTTACCTTTTGTTCATCATCTTTAGCTTTAAAAGCGAGAATGAGTTCAACTTCAAACAAATCTATATAAAGAATGTCAGACTCTGGATGTCTATGAATTCCTTTAAGTAAGAAACCTCTGGCACTTTCAAAGTTCTGCTGTTCTTTACTCTCCCATTTGCTAGCCATCTGCCACATTTTAGGTTTATCACCATGCACCTACAAAATAAAGAAATACAGGTGAGATTTGACATTTTTATACCATGTTTTTTTTTTTATAATAAAAGGGGGCAAACAAGCGGCGAGAACACCAAGGTGGTTAACGACGCCCATGGACATCCGCAACACCAGACGAACTACAGTTGCTTTGCTGGTCTTTAACGAAATGATAGGCTCGCTTCTTGAAGTCTAAGATGTATTGGTTTGGAAAAACGAGGACACACAGTATTCATACATCTACAAATACAGTCAGTTTTGTGTGCATTATTAGAATTTCATTGATTTGTAATAAACTTTGACACTAATTCTTTTCAACACATTTTAGGTCATACTATTTTTTCACATGGAAAGAAACTCATCAGGACCTGAATAGTAAACTTAGCATATAGCACTAAATATATAGTAAAATCCACTATTATTACACGTACCAATAACATCTGACTAATAATTCCAGAAATGGCATGTTGAAAGCCAACGCTTCTACAAAATTTGATGTATTCAAAATAAATTTCAATGTTATTTTGAAATCTATAGATAAATTGTTTGAAAATCTTATTCAGACGTTTGGCTATAGCATATTCTATGTCGCTTCTTTTCTCAGATAGATGTGCTTTCTTTCGCCTGAGTGATATATCTTCAAGTAACGCTAACTCATACGCAATGTAGTGTACAAAATCATCCTTTTCTTTTACTCTTCGTTGTATTCTATACTCAAACTCTTTACGTTTACGGGATATTTCTCTGAAATAAAAAAGTAAATTACAAATTAAGGTTAGAACGTTATAATGAAGAACAAAATTTATAAACAAAATACTAACTTTATTTCATCGTCATCGTACAAATTTAACCTTTTCATCTGCTCCAACTCATTTATCATACCCTCAATACGTTGATTTACTTGTTCTGCCATGTTTTATTTTAACTTTACTATAAATTAGTATATAAACAAACCATCTATGTTTACAAAATTCAACGTGAATTTTTGAGGTTACATTTAATTGACATTTGGGTTTTTTGACATATCGACGCGACGAAGGCATCAGTGACATTCAGCCAACGATAATAAAGCCTAAGATTTCTTTTACACATAGCAATTTTGTGTATAATTAAAAATCATGGTAACACAAAAATGGTTCTTTTGTTTAACGCATATGGGGGACAAAATTATCAAAAATTATCCCTCCTAGAAGGAAAACGTCGAATTTTCAATAACCCTGTACATTACAGTACTAATTAACTTTTTCAAATTGCTTCTGAAACGTAGTATTCCAGCGGCGTATGTTCCACGTTCACAAGTGTAGAATTAGAAGAACTGCTATTTTCACGTAAATAAATTAAAAGCCCATTAGATTCAAACATTTATAATAAATAAAGTTAAGGTACTGCAATTACGAAATAAAATGAATCATCAATACTACTATGTCTATGTTGTACCCCATCAATGTTTGGGACACAATTTGTAAAGGTTAGGCAATATACAGCAAATATTTTGTCATCTTTGTTACAGTACGAAGAAATCAGTTTTATTTCTAATGTTTTAAATGAGTAATAACAAGAAACACAGTAAAAGAAAAATGATATAATAACAAGATTGAGCAGTACATAAAAGAAAACAAATTTTAAAACTACTTAACAATACTACAGAATTCAAATTTTAATTCGTTTATTCTTCAAACACCATTATAGTATTTATCTTCGTTTTTTTAAGGAAAATGAGAAGCTATGGATTCTGTTATCTTTTTAATGGAAAATCTTAGAAAATCGAATATCATTTAAAAGCAAAATGTAATTAAAAAGAAATGCTCTCAAATAGACTATGATTTTGTTACATTCTACTTCTATGCACATTATCTGCAATAAAAAAGTATCAAATACATAAAATGGAACGTGTCTAAAAATCAAAAATGAATTTTGTTACTAACATTACTGAACCAGATTATTTTCTATTGAAATGTTGACAATTATTTAATTAAGTTTCGATTAGTAATTTAAAATCAGTAGTAAAGGCGAATAGAAAAATCATATTTGTAAAAATTGGTAAACATACTAAAGTCTGTGACGTCACTCATAGTAGTAAACAATTTTTAACATATTACAACAAAAAATTACAATCTGTACCTTTTCTATTAATCTTCAAAGTTTTTCAATATCTAAGTATTTTTATACCTAATTAAATTTAATCACTGTAATCAAATAATTAACTAAAAAGGTAAAAATGTAACATAAATGTATGTTGAGTCAATACAAATGGAAGTTTTTTATTTAAATTCTAAACAGCTTAATTCCAAGTTACTGTTAAAAATTACATCAAAATAATGCTCCTAAATATTTATATGCTAAGCACTGAATAGAAAAATTTAGCAGAAATTCAAAATTACTTGCTCGTCCCTTTTACTTACCAATAAAATTATTGACTAACAATTCCACAATATAAAATCTATAGGGAAAAATAAAGATAAATTTCAATAATTTGTACGCAAGGCGAATTAAAAAAATTTACAGCCAAAAATATTGAATAATTTAGAAAAAGCCTTTTTACAATACATGCTTGAATAAGTAAAACAAACCATAAAAAGGACGTGTTACAAAAATACTAAAAACCAGCCTAAAACAAACATTAACAAAAAATGTAATGAAGCAAAAAAAATTTATATCTTACGTTTAATGTAAACAATTTTTTTTTAAATATAAGCATAACACGTCCAATAAATTAATTCAACTGTATATAAATGTTTGTAATGTTAAGAAAAAAATAGTACCATGCTGTAGAGTTGGCGCAACTCTAGATTATCGGCATGAACGTCACGTCCCTAGCTGACAGCTGTCAATGTCACTAGAAGTATGGTTTGGCGCGTAACCTGAATCCTGACGAGAAGTGTTGCTCTGAGTTTAAAGCGACAGAATCAATTAAATGTGTTGTCTAAAAGTAAAGAAAGAATAGCGAACAAATATCTCATATCCGTCGATTACAAAATTGACGAAAATACATGCCTATAATCTAATCTAGCAATATCGTAATAAAAATATAATTGCGACTGTACATTACGTTATAGCAAACACTAATCGACAACTAGCAATATAAGGAAAGTAATTAAATTACATCCTGTATATAAAATCCCGATCAATGATCTAGAACAATCCATTCCCTGACAGAAGTCATTTTTTTTCAATTCCTAAACCATAATATACTAGAAATTGTTGTATCAAAAAACATGTTTTTTTATCAAGGTTAATGGTCAATGAATCAAATGAGGCTTGAAAAATTTTTGAAAAATCACCAAAGAGTGAAGTTAAAATAATATATTAAGAGTATACTTTCTCACTGATGTAATACATTTTGATACTTTTAATGTTTTTTGTGAATGTGGCCTCATCACATATCACACGAGGAAGGGTCAAAGTACGAATTTTTATGTAAAAATCGTTTTAGTTTCAATTTTCTAATATTTTTCCATTCATTTGTTACTTTTCCTTCACATTATTAACTGCTTTTAATATTAAAAAAATAGATTTTTTTTATTTACATGCCAGGCGGATTTACAGTGAATATTAATTAGAATAAAATTGTTTTACTAATAATCTCCAATATGGATGAGATTTCACTGATCGGGACTTTTAACACACCAATTATAATAAATGTTAAAAATGCAATTGCATTTAATACCTAATTCATAGTCTGTGGCGCAATTTTTATCTACATTCCAAAGAAAATTATTTACAATCACAAAATGGTATACATTCTTCTCGATGTTGCGTTAACGAGTTATTTTTTCCCAATTTCTATAAAAAAAAACACAGCTACAATATACTACTGTCATATTAACCAAGTTTTATTAAGTTTGAAAGAAAAATTACTAAGAATAAAAGCTAAATGTAGACTCAATGATACATTTGGCTTATCGCAAGTTTATACAAACGGGATACAAAAATCATTTTAATTATTTCTGTATCATTTATCTCACGAATATTAATATATGACGTAGTTAGTACGTATTTTGCTTGCGTTTTGGGAGAATATATTTAATAAATACGTAATATACAGCATACTTGATACCACGATGTTATATTCTTGTATACACGAGATATACACAAGTGATATTTTATTAAAATACACTTGAAAGTCTCCTATCAAGGGAACCTTCATTATTTTGTATATAAAAGATGTTATCATGATGAGATAGTTGTATCATGTATATTTTTGTATAACTTGTATCTTGAATAGATACAAGTGATAATTGCGATACAAAGGGTGTTCAAACTTGTTAAGACAGTATGGTTAAAATTACTAAGTATAAATTTTATCTAGGGTCAGTCTCGACCGATCTCAGAATTTCGGAGACGGTCTTTGGCGGTCTGAGACGGTCTGTAGCGATCTGAGACAGTCTCCGGCGGTCTGAGACGGTCTCTGACGGTCTTAGTTGGTCGAAGCGACGGTGGTGCGCTGTTGTTTGTGCCGCCGATGGTCGTAGTTGACGAGACGCTGGCCCACGAGGTATTTATCATTCTTGATGTGCTCGTACAACTTTTTGAACTGCCGGATCTAGAAATTAAGATTTTAGTACTTGAGAAATAATCGTTTAACGATTGTATATGTTTAAGACTTGATAAAAGTGATGAAAAACTCTAAACATATTATTCATGTAGACTTACAAATTCGTGCAAAGGTATTGTATACCTACTCTTCTAGACAAAATAATTGACATATTTTGACTCTTTGTATTAATTGAGAATTATAAAACATAATTTTAAATTTTAAAATTACTGTTTCATTAAATAATATACATCATATACCAATTTCCTGGCTTGCCTTTTTAGAACAATGTTACTTTTTCGTGGCATACTCAATACAAAAAGTCGAAACAATAACAATCAAATAAAACTTAACAATAACAAACAAAAAAGTCTCAACAATAACAACAACAGAAAAAACTACAAACAATTATTACCGAAAACTTCTACTTTTATGTAATTTCTATTTTGTGGCAATAAATACATATTTATTCATTCATTCATTCACTCAAAACAAGTAACAACGAAATTGGAGATAAGTGTACTCGGGAGTAAACGGAACGTGGGGAAAGAAGCGGGACGCAAAGACTGACTGATTAACCAATAGCAAGCGAGCGCGCTCGCGTCCCCCTTGCCCCGCCAAAAAGGCAGTAAAATCGAATTTTGTCCAACTAAATGTATTGTTAAAGATATTTGCCGGGTGCTATGCCGGTTGGGTAAATGTATACCTGGAAGAGTGCGAGCGCGGCGAGCAGCAGCAGCAGCAGCAGCGCGGGGTAGACGCGGCGCGCCAGCAGGTTGCGCTGCGCCGGCGCGGCCAGCAGCAGCGGCGCCGCGCTGTGCGCCAGCGCGTACGGCACCGCCAGCGCCAGCCCCAGCCACCGCACCAGCGGCGCCGCCACCGCGCGCAGGATGAACCTGCACACACACTTCTAGTGTACTTGTCTATTTATATTATTACTAGCTTTGGTTCGAGAGTCCCTTCGTGCGGAATTTAAAAAAAAAAACAAAAGTAAGTAGCCTATGTGTTCTTCCAGACTATCCTCTGCATTCATTTAAAACTGTTCAACCGTTTAGGCAACAAATTCTAACAAACATATTAGTATGAAGTATGATTTATTTATTTACAGATTACACTACATTTAATTATTTATTATTTATTATGTTACATTCATACAATCACATATTCATTTATATATTTAATACAGACAGTCTCGCGACAAACACATATATAAAAGAAATATGTGTTTGTCGCTCAGGGAGGAGGGGTCATGGGGGTCATGACCCCCCTGAGCTGGTTGGCAAGACCTTGACAAAATATATTTACATATTTTGTCAAACTCTTGACTTGACTACGACTTTATGACCCCCCTGGCGCCAAAGATGAATCCGTCCTTGGTATATGTACACAAATAAACTGCGTTTACACTATACACATAATAATATTGTCCATCGTGATCAACAATTAATTTGAAATAGACTATTTTTTTTTTATTATTTTTTATATGCTATATACGACCAGTAAATACGCTTAAGCCCTGTGGGTTTTTGTACGGATTCAAATAATTGTAATCACTTGCAATTGAAGAAATTTCACGCGGAACAAACCGCACGGGAAAAGCTAGTTAGAAATACAATCGTAATTTGAATAATCAATGTTAATTGAACGAACTCACTTCAAATCCATCTCTCTAATGCCATCCCTGTAGGCTTTCTCTATCGCGCGGCGCATCGCCCAGTCCGGTCCCATCATAGTGAGAGCACACAGGATCTTGGTGTAGAGCACACCCAGCGCCCAGTCCTGCCACACGAACAGCACCGGCGACTGCTCCAGCGGCACGCGCAGCGGGATCACCAGCACCTGCCCAACATTCGTCTCCATCATCACATCCCAATGAGGAATACCAGCCTACAGTAAGGTAGGGTATGACCCTCAGTCAACTACTCTGGCCTATTGAGGATTGATTTTACAAATAACTATACATATAATAAAATTGGATCTGTTTGTAATATCAAAGGAAAAATTCCAGATTTCGGAAGATGATGTATTTATTTGCATTGCTGATAACGAAAATTTTATTTTTTGTCTATCTGTCCGCAAGCTGCGTTTGTTCCGGGTAATCTCCGAAACGGCTGGGCCGATTTCGACCGAACTTTCACTGAAGGGTAGCTGACAAGGATAGGCATATTATAGGAAACTTTTTAAAATTCCGCGCTCTCAAAATGGCGACCGGACCGCTATCTCTGGAACGGGTGGAACGATTTGGACGAGACTTTGACTGGAAGGTAGTTGCTAAAAAGTAAATGCACGCGGAAATGTTATAGACGAACATTTTTTTAAAATCCACGCTAACAAAGCTTGCTGGCGACAGCTCGTCTTTGAATATATTCACAGATATGTGCGGGTTGCATCACGATGTCTTCCTTCACCGTAAAAACAACGGGTAAACATACAAAAATATATTGGTACATAGTAGGATTCGAACCCACGTTCTGCAAATCAAGTGCTTAAACCATATGCAAACGACCATCAACAACGTTAGAAAAAACGAATAAAGACAAGAGACCTAGTCCGCAAGTTGTGTTAATTTGTACATAACCACAACCCTTACTTGTCCGTCTCTTTTCTCATTTTCTTTCAATGCTTACTATTATCTATTACAAACATATAAATATAACTGTATAGTCGATTATTAAGAAATGACACGTCTTTCATCATTCAGATTTAAACGCGCCTTTTGATGTTAACGATATTATCAGTTAAATTTTAACGCGAACAACCGAAAATCAGCGCAAAAATGTCGAAATATTGAATAGACACCACAGTTTATCCATTGTCCATCCAATTATCCTCTGTAAAAAACTTACCAATTCCAGCAGTAGTCCGAACATCAGCGGGACTAGTCCGAGCAGCGCGAGTGCTGCGAGTGCCGCGCGCGCTGCTCGCCGCGTCCACAGCGCAGCGCGCCGCAGCAGCGCCGCGCGCCCGCGCCGCGCCCAGCGCGCAGCCAGCGCGCCGCCGCGCCCCGCCGCCCAGCACACGTACATGCCTGCACATGTGCTCATCACTAACACCTTCACATGGACCTAACCAACACTCTCATAACCTAACACTTCAATGATCTTAGCATAACACTTAAAAGCACTATTTTATATATTATAACATAATTATCATCTTAGATTTCTATACGAGAAAACCATACTATAATTGTTTTTAAAATGTTATTTTAACATGAAACCTAATTTTAATAGACTTGAAAATCGATATTAGTGATCATACGGTTTTAGAGATTGAATGTTAAAGAAAAGTGGAATGTAATATTTACCGCAAGCAGCTGTATAAAGTTCATGCACTCCGTCCGATGCCTTAGGTAGCCACAGAGCCATCACTTTCCTACCAATCGCCACTGGAATCACCTACAAATAGTTACAAACTTCGTTAATCTTACTAATATTACAAATGTGAAAGTGTAGATGGATGGATGGATGTTAGAGTTTTGTACCTTACGACTGACCAGATGAAATTTGGTATAGATATAGAGGATAGTTTGGAAGAACACATAGGCTACTAACTTTTGGTTTAATTCCACGCGGAAGGAGTCGCGGTCGAAAGCTAGTATGACTATAAAATTTAATTACTTACTAATATTATAAATGCAAAAGTTTAGATGATTTTCATTATAAGGTATATTCGTAACGATTCAACAAATTTAGATGAAATTTAGGTGAGATGTAGGAACACAGGCTAGCAAGCTATTTTTTCAATTTCGCCTAAACAATATCGGAGGTTTAATACAAATATGCGTTCACACTTGGTCAGTACAGTTGGCTAGTAGCGCCCAATAACTGGAGTAGCAATCAACTGCAACAGTGTGAACGCTTACTGGCGCCAAGGAATACAATCTATGACTGGCTGTCGTAACTGTACTGGCCAAGTGTGAACCGGACATTATTGTAAGGACACGGAAGGAATGGTAGAGGTAGTTTCACAAGAGGCGTTCAGTCGTTTTCGTTCAGTCGTTCAGTAGCTTAGCATTTAACTAGTCAAGTAACGTATGCGTCTGCCTTAGTGTTGCCTGTATATTGGTGGTAGTTATTCAGAAATGTTAAATTCGTTATTTTACTGTTTTTTTTTTATGTAATACATTATATACTTACCAAGGTGAGTGCACTGGCCATAATCAGTGACAGTGAGACGAGCAGCATCAGGACAGCCAGTCGCAGAGGGAACCAGGAGACGCGCGAGTACGGCTCGAAGCCAGCCGGGCCCTCGCGCCACACCAGCGCCTTTATATTGTTCCAGTTGATATACCAGCGAACAGAATTCGCCGAAATGGCGAAAACGATACAAATACACAAGTTTACACAAGTTCATCTTTATAGAAATAAAATATGTACTTATACATAAATTCCCCGCTAAATCCCCTTCCCATCCTTTGTAACAATAGGGTGGGGAGGGAACTAAAATTAAGCTTCGCGCACACATGAGACTTGGAAAAAAATAAAATGGAATAAAACGCTTTTAAATACATGTCACTTCCTTCAAAGTTTCATAAAACCTTTGATACAGTAATTACCAAAAGTATTATTGTCAGGAATTCAAATCTAGCACCGAAGTTAAATCAACTTAGAATAATGTATATAAGTAAATAGTTTGTAAGTACCGCAATATATTTAAATCAGTCGGATTATATCTTGGATTTAAGCACGTCTTTTCGTACACCAGGGCATATATAAATGACCCAAAATTGACACAAGATGGTAAATCCTCACCTGATGTGCAGCGCCAAGCTGATGTGGAGGATGAGGAGGCGGGTTGGGTTCATCCCTCGCCGCCTCTCCCAGCAGGTATGATCGCAGACCGAGCAGGGCGGCAGCGCAGGCGCACCACGCACGCAGACCGGCCTTCAGCCACTTGCGCGTATGCGACTGCTCCAACAGAGCTGGCAGAATCACCTAAATAATAAAATATTATCTTACATTGTTAAAAATAACTAATAGAGTACAAAAATACTCTTTGTTCAAGAAAATCTAAAAATTTCACTGCACAACTTCATACAAATTCGCGTCAGTTGTAATCTATACTAATAAAGCGTAAACACACACTACTTTGTGGCGTAGTATGTCAGTAATCACAGCATATTCTTAATAACTCTTTCTTTAACAAAAAGCTCAACACTTACGACACGCTATAGGAGATACATTTTCACGCTATTAAACTTAGGTGGTAGATAAATTGGAAAAAATCTTCATGCGGGAAAGGGACCATAAACTAAAGGCTGCCAACTTTAAGGAAGCAAGGTTATCACGGTAACGGTACTTGTTATTTAAATATCAAAGGCCTTCGTAGACACCTGTGCGTTTGAATATTGACATTTGCAATTAAGAATTTGACAAATGTAAACAATAAAATACATTTTTTGTAATTACATGCGGATTAAGCCGCACGGGAACAGCTATTTTCTATAGATAGGCACAGTATGTGCTGTTCTTCCCTATACGTCAGACGTCAAATCGGAATTGTTACCTAAGCATATCCTCTTTCACACAATCTAGCCATACTTTCTTATGTCTTCTACTTTTATAGCCAAGTAATGTTTCTCAATAACATCTATTTATTATTTGTCTTAAAACACCTAAACTTGTGACATCTCATGAGAAATTAATTGAATATTAAAATGAGACTTTGGACATGGACATGGACAAAGATATTATTTTTATAATATCTTTGACCATGTCCATGTCCTTTTGGTCTTAAAAACTCATTATCATGACCGATTTTCGGCCAAGGTCCGACGACTTAATTGATATTCAAAGGTATTTAAATCAGTAACTAATTAAAAAAAGAATGGTATATATTTAGTTATGCTTTGCGGTAATGAACATAAAACTATAAGAAATAAATAATACTTTTATGCAAATTTATTTAACCTGTATTCAAGGTGACACTTTATTATTTTATTTCATCGTACCACAGAAATTATCCACGTTATTTATTTACTATGACAAGTCCAAAATATTACAAATAAGATATTCAACAAACTATAAGAAGATTTAAAAAACTAGACAAATAGTAACAGAATGTATATTGTATATATTTTGACCTTGAATTCAATACTATCTTCGGACATATATTACTAATTTTATAAATGCGAAAGTTTGGATAGATGGATGGATGTTTGTTATTACATGTAACATACAATCTATACTATTATAATAAAACGTAAACACACACTTCTTTGTTGCCTAAGATGTCAGCAATTACATTTATTTATTATTAGAATAATTCTTTTTTTAATAAAAAGCGCTACACTAACGTCACGCTTTAGGCTATATATTTTCACGCCATTAAACTTAGGGAGTAAATATTTTGGATAAAAACTCTAATGTGGGAAATAGACCATAAGTTGCTGCCAACACCAAGGAAGCAAGATTGTCAAGGTTTGTCATGTCACGTCATTTTGGCATTTGTTTTTTTCAAAATTTTCATAATTTGATGCTAATAAAGCCGTACGGGAATAGCTAGTTTAAATATAATATTTAACAATTCAAACAATACCTGTAGTAATAACAATTCCAAGCTTAATTCATTCACGGGTGCTTCAGTGTGCACAGCCACTGCATACGGAAGGAATCCTGGTAGAACGTATTTGATGACCCTTATCGGTAGCCACAGCATAAAGAGTACAGCTGTACCAAATATCATTGCAGATACAATAAGACGTCTAATATGCGACCATACTGAAAGATGTATCATTTCCTGAAAATAATAGAAATCTTTTACATACATATAATAAAATTGGAATGTCTGTTTGTAATATCAAAAGAAAAATTCTAGATTACGAAAATCCCATTTAAAAAAAAATGGACAAAATGGACACAACATTTTTTTTTAATTCTGCGTTGTCAAAATGGCGTTGGGTGGTCATATGCGCTAACGAAGTTTGTGGGCGACAGCTCGTGTTTAATAAAACATTACGTATTTTTAATCACATGTAATGGTCAATATGCAATACAATCTTTATGAATAAAAACAGCTGTACAAATGTACAATGAGACAGGAAATCAATTTTCCTTGTTATATGACTATAATACATGCATATATGTTTCTTTGTTACATAATAAAACTAGCTATGATTGTACATTATTCTTCATATAGGCTGAGAAAAAATTATATGGGATACAATTGTTATACATTTTTTAATGAAATTGTAATATTAATTTTTAAGAAATAAATGACTGGAAAAACTGTATATGTATATACTTTTAAAAACATCTCAACATAATAATACACATATATTTACACTTTTATTTGGTCCAATTAGATTCCAATAAATGTTTTATTTTTTGTTTTATTATATTATATGTGTCGTTTCAAGTACAATTTTTTGAAACTGTCCTCAAATCTTTTTGCGGAAGACTTTAAAGGACACCATTTGTCCCTATATTTAAATAGGCAAATATTAGTTGATTTAACACTTTCAGTGCCATGCATTATATCCCTTAAAAAAATCTTTACAATGAAACTTCAACAGTCTCACAAATAAACACAGTATAAAGTTAAACTTAGGAATAAACTGAGTATAAGCAAATATTAGTACAAATTTGTAAGGCTGCAAGAATTTACATAAATACAAAGAGTCCAGAATTAAAAGAATCTTACCTGCACAGGACTGAAGTCAGGGTCATTCAAATTCTTCAAGAACCAAAGCACACCGGGACGAAGTACCTCTCTTAGTAGTAAGATGAATGATGCAAAGTAATAAACGTACACCATGCCGACAAGCCAATGTATGAACATTAATGTCCAAGGTGCTGCATGGAGACTTGACTCCCGGTCTTTAAGGGTCGCATCAAACATTGAGAGCGAGCATAGATCCAACCACCAACCACACACAAGTGGTATTACACCAATCTGTAAAAAATATTTAATCTATGAAAAAGATTCATGTTCATTATGTTTTTGATTTTAGAAATTGATGTAAACATGTAAAAAAATATAATGAAGGAACTGAAAAGTAATTGAATTTCAATGTCTATTTATGGAAAGAAAAATTGTATTGATTGATAATTATTAAATTACTTGTTAAAAATGTCATAAATCAGTTTATTATAAGTATAAAAACATTGATTAACAATTGCTTTTTTAATAGAATACCATCATTATTGGAATTTCATTGTATTAAATTAGCTTTAGAATAACTATTTTCTTTGTTATTCCTCCAATAATGTGCAATTGTTTACATTAAATGTACTTAAAAAAAGAAAATTACCATTTATGATTAAATGAATGTAAATCACCTTTTTATATTACATTGTAATTACCTGATACAATAACCTCAAGAATTCTACTTTATATAACTACATGTTAGGCAAATTGACTAGACAGGATATTGACCGCAATGTAAAAAAATACTGATATAGAGTGAATGAACTCAAGTAATATCACCAAAATAAGAACACTATATAATTAAAAGTATCTACAATTTTTTAAACAATACAGATAAAAAAATACAGTTTATTATGCTTTTGTGAAATTATGAAAAAATAAAAGTATCTTAAACTTACCTCCACAACAGACAGGAGGGCCACCTTTACGACAACATAGCAGAAACCCAAGGTCCTCTTTGCACTTCTGAGATGTAACAATGATGCTATACCATGTAACACTGCTAGTATTGCTCCCACCAACACATACCCAGACAGAGCTGTCAGCGGGCCAGCAAACGGACCCTCTGCAGTCAAACCAGCAAGGGCAGCTCCCAGTCTCCCTATGTGGTATGGGCAGAATGCAAACACCAGAATAAACAATGTATTTAATGATACAACCCAAAACACATGTTCCAAAAACACCATAGAGCCATCTAAACCAAGAAGACGAGCCCATGTTAATTCCTCAGCTGCTGCTCGGTCCCAATCCATAGGATTCCAATTTGCCTCATCTCCTACTAGAGCATCTTCCCCTGCATCACCAATTCCTTCCTCTCTCTCTGCTCCTTCCTCTCCAGGAACTTCATTGACTCGGTCATTGTTATTTTCAGGCAATGGGGCTTCTTCTGGAGGAGGAGCAGGTAAGTTCTCTCTCTCCATCCAGTCAGGGCCGCCACCATGCATTATCTGCTCTCTGAGCCAAACGAGGCCAATGAACGAGAATAAAGTACATGTCACAACAAAGCAACCAGAGAAAACATCTTTAGCAAGATTCTCAGCCGATACTATATCAAATGGCAGGGATATAACTGGATCTAAGGAAGCCGAAAACAAGCTTCGATAAGTTCTACAAGCGGTTAGTGGAACGATACCCAGCCAGGCAAGGGCCACCAGAGTGTAATGTAGCCAATCTTTCACAGCCGACGCCACGGAGGTGACCAAACCACCCATCACGTCCCTTATCGGCAGTCGTCGAGGCATATCGGGCGAATAGATAGGCATGAAGGAGAACCGATGACCACACAGCTCGCAAATTTCTTTTCGTGAGTACCGCATCCATTGTACTAGACATTCTTGATGAATCCATTTTATAGAGCCAGTGCATATGCAGGGATGGAACAGGGGTCGGTCTGAAGATGCTTCTGATCTACAGAACCGACAGAAATCTGCCCCGGACAAGTCCGAATCCATAGTTGTCCTCAGTCCAGTTTCTCTGGCGTATTAGACGATCTGAGAAAGTTGACATGAAGAATTAAAAACTGCGCGAAAACACATTGATACACTACACGTATGCAAATTTCAGAAACTAAGAACACACCTTTCTAATTAAATATTAATAAAACGCAAAAAAACATTAGATTTATATTAAAAAAAGAAGATTTATAATTATCTGTTTGCTAAATTATCAGACTAATAAGAATCAAGTATTGCCAGCTAAAAGTCAAAGTTAGTGCATAACAGTATGTTACAAAGTACTCCGTGGTGCATAATGTGTAACCTTCTGATTGGGATGAAAAAAGTAGATTCATGTAAAAACCAATTTCTGATACAATATTTTTTTAATTTTATAAATGCAGTTGAAGTTTTAGTAAAATGGGTATTTTAATTTTTGACCCCATAAAGTTATCGTAACAAGTGTATCATATTTCTCAGACTAAGAATAGAGATCGGATCTATATGTTTTAGGACTACAGAGTAATGTGGTACATTTATAATAATCAATTTTTTTTTTGATTCTATTACATTGCAGGCATTTTCTATTTGTAAACTCCTCACAATACCTCAATAGGGAGATTTATTATGTGATTTTAGTTATGGCAATAAACTCGAAATATCACCAAAGGTTACTGTCAACTGTCAATGCCATTTGCTTGAAAACATATGACACGTAGCGTATAAACAATGTTAAAAGTTTATTTATTATCTCAAAGGTGAATTACATAAAATTATACTTATGAAGTACCATTTGTGAATAGAAATGTTAATAAATCATTAACACAAATACTTATTTTCTATTTTTTAGAAAATGCTGTAAAGTAAATTAAACCGATTATTTAAAACCCTATTCTGTGATAAAAATGAATTCTTCCAAAGAGACTATAATAAAAATTGATAACTCGACAAGCAGTAAAGACAGTTCAAGCACTGAGATTAATATATTATGCTTCAATATTACTCCATACAGTCAACTTGTACAGTTTATGTGCTGCTCTGCTTTCGTATTTGTATGTTATTTAGCATATGGGTACTTCCTCGAGCTTATATTCTCCAAAGCGGAGGTAAAACCAGTCAGTCTCTATATAACATTTGTTCAATTTTTAATCACAATGCTGCTAAGTTATGTTGAGTCTTTGATAAGAAATCCAATCAAAAGGAAGTAAGTATTATTTCATATATTAAAATTAAATAGTTTTTACCGCTACATATCCCTAGCTTATTTCTAAAGAAATATTTTTAATAACTTTCAAAGTAAAAAACTGGCTTTACTATTGTTTGATCATAATTTTATAACATCTTTTGTTCTTATTACTTAAATAAATCAAAAGAAAACAAGAAGGTCGACATTGCTTTGTTTTGATGTATTTTAAGAAACTAATAGATGTTACAAAAATATGTTAAGAAATGTAATTCTTACCATAAGTTGGCTGTTACAGATGTTAGTATTTTAAGTAATAATATTTTATTATAATTAATAATAATATTATAATTTATATTGTAAGATATTTCCACAAATGACTTCCTTTAAAATATAGACGGATGGCCATATTAACAATTACTTTAAAACATACAAACTAAAATCCAATGTGACAACACAAATACATCGAATTTTCCATTGTGACCACTAGTAAAACACTGAGCGCCGAGACTGCGACTGAGCATGAGCCACTCTTTGCCATATATTTTATAAAATTACCCCCTACTATTCATTCCGTTTCCTAATATTTTCCTAACAATATTGTTCTTTTAATTAAATGTAAACATATTACTAAATAGCACAGATTAACAAATAACTTTTAAGAATACATAATACATCAAAAATAGAAAAAAAAGTAACAAATTATTGTTGTTAACAATTTATTGTAATTAATTTATAAATAATATTATATAAATTAATTATAATAAATAAATAAGTAAATTTTTGTAACTATATTTATACTTTCAGGGTACCATTAAAAACCTATGCAGTTTTAGCTGCATTAACATTAGGGACAATGTCTCTGTCAAATTTAGCACTTAGTTACCTGAATTATCCAACTCAATTGATATTCAAGAGTTGCAAGCTCATCCCTGTGATGATAGGCAGTATTATTATTTTGGGCAAGAGGTACGGCTTCCTAGACTATGTAGCAGCAATTGTAATGTGCATTGGTTTGACAATGTTTACTTTAGGTAAGGTTTTATTATTTTACTGTTCATTGCTGATAACTACACCCACATGTAAATAAAAAATATAGTCTATGTTACTCTCTAATAGCTCCCTAATAGACAAACAATTTTTGAAATTGACCTAGTAGTTTTTGAGTTATTCCATAAAAAAAATACATATCTTTCCTCTTTATAATGTAAGGTGTATAGCATTGTAGTGGTAAAACTAAATTTATTTGTACCAGCTAAAGTTTTTACATATAAATTTCAGCTGATTCAAAAACATCCCCCAACTTTGATGCTGTTGGTGTCCTGGTTATTTCATTAGCGCTACTTTGTGATGCAATAATCGGGAACGTCCAGGAGAAAGCAATGAAACAATTCTTTGCTACAAACAATGAAGTGGTGTTTTACTCATATGCAATCGCTTGCTGCTATCTTCTGGTTATCACAGGTGCTACTGGAATTTTTGTCAATGGATTCACTTATTGTTCCCAGGTATTATTGCATTTTTTTAAACATATTCTATTTGATATAATGGCATACATGCACAATAAAAAACTATCTAATCACTATATTAAAGACTAGCTGTACCCATGCGACTTCATCCGCATGAAATTATAGTGATTTTATTTTATTTTTTACATTTGTCAAATTATCAATTGCAAATGTCAAAATGACATGACATGATGTCAAACCATGGCAACCTTGTTTTCTTGATGTTGGCAACAACTTACGGTCTCTTTCCCACATTAGGGATTTTATCCAAAATCTTTACCCCTGAGTTTAACTGCGTGAAAATATATAGCCTAAAGCGTGACGTAAGTGTGGGGCTTTTTATTAAAAAAAGAATTATTCTAAAATATGCTGTAATTGCAGATATCTTGGGCAACAAAGAAGTGTGTGTTTACGCTTTTTTATATTAGTATAGATACAAATAGAATATAGATTTCTACCATTGGGCCTACTACTAGACTTCCTCTAATATACTGTATTTCTATCAATATTATTAAAGTGTTGTTTATTTTCAGAATTCAATATCAATGTACACTAACATATTCCTGCTGAGTGTGAGCGGCTACATGGGTCTACAGGCTGTGCTCACACTGGTCAGGATCTGTGGAGCCACCGTCGCTGTGACAGTCACCACTATGAGGAAAGCACTCTCCATTGTTATATCGTTCTTATTGTTCAGCAAACCCTTTGTCTTCCAGTAAGTATTTATGGTTTTTTATTACTTTATGCACTAATAGTATTACAATAGGTGTACTAAAACTAAATGAAATTTGGTATGAATGTAGAAGATAATTAAGACGAATACATAGGCTACTTTGCTAGTCGTTAATAGTTACGGTTCCCGTGAGATACATCAATTTAGTTTTATTTTTTTCATTTTTACTTAATAATTCTGCAACGGTACAACATATGTTATTTAAAATTGGCATAGATATAACATTTCATCCCAGAAATTTCAGGTTTTCGAGGGATGAATAGGGTTGTTTTTTTATATGTTTTTTTTTTAATATTGTATGTTTTTATTTCAGGTATGTTTGGTCGGGAATGTTAGTAGCGCTTGCAATATATTTAAACCACTACAGTAAGAAACACCCTCAGTACGTGCCTCAGCCAGTGCGCTTGTGTTGCCATTACTTGCAGAATTTCTACCAATCTGAATATAAATATCTTAAAATAAAGAGTAAAATTTATGCAGATACAGTTTGACTAAGTACTATTAGTTAATTTTTGTATACAAGAAATATTTATCTATAATAGCCTAATTTTTTTTTGTTATAAGTATAGTTTGTTTAAGTAAGTCAATATCTAAATGTGTTGCCACAACTATCGTAGTATTTAAAAAAAATATTTTTATTACTGTATATGTTAGTTTTATTTCTATTTGTGTCTACTAAGTAATAACTGTGTAATTTAATGTAATTAATATGAAATATGACAGTCAAAATAAGACAAAAAGTTGATTATTAAATTTCGTTTGTAAATAAATAGTTCCTATTTATTATGAGTTTTTTTTTAGCTCCAAGCTTTTTCTTAACTATCTATTATGTACTTTAGACTACCATGTACTATTACCATATAAAGTGAATTACGAGTAAACAGATAATATGTTGGTTTATCAAATATTTATTTTCACTCAGTCTATAAATAACTAGTGCTGGGCTGCTGGAATTCCATATATTTTATCTCTAGTGATTCATTAATGTTAGATTGATCTAAGTTTCAACGGAATAAAACTAAACTTCGCAGTTCGGAAAGGAATTTCATGAAGTTATCGAAAATACTAACGACATAAAAGGTTAAATGTAGCTTGGAAACCGGCCATTAGTATTAAAATTAGACTTTAGGTTACCTTGTTAGAAGATTTAGGGACTGTCCCACCAAATTGTAAATTGATACCAATCCTGCGTGTAAAATAAGTGATGGAAATATCGGATCTTGTTCCTTTATCTGACAGTGACGTCATTTTTAAGCTATCTGAGTCTATTAGCTAGTATTGGGACAGGCCCTTAAAGATTAATATACAAGTAAATAAAAAAATCAAATTTTATATCAATGACATTTATTTCATTGTATGTACAAAATCTTACAAACCTAATCGTTTTCATACAAAAGTGTCCAAATTTAATGTGTTTCGAATATCTGGAATGTTAAGACACTATTCAATGATTTATACAAATCTAGGACAATGGGAAATGAAACGGCCGAATACTGAAACGACATTTGAATATCTAACAGCGTAAATGATAAGGCCACGCTTCACTACAAATTCCTTACATATTATGACGTTAATCAGATTGATTACGAACGAAGTATTTTAGTTTCAGTATTTGGTCGCAGTTACTAAAGCATTAGTGATAAACTTTTGGAAGGAGCAAAAGTAACAGAGATTATGTTATTGGTATAAACTATCCATCAGTCATTGTAATCTCCAAAATGCGATACACATGCAAGCCGGATCCAGCTACTGGATTTTCAGTAGCACAATAATTTTGAGAGGTACGAATCTTGACAAACAAATTGTGCCAGTAATTGCCATGCCAGTTACTGGCATGTGTATTTCCGTCTAAATGTTTGCCCGAGTATATTTAAATCTCCTGATCAGAATGTTACATGATTATTTTGATAAGCCTTTTTTATTTACGAGTTTTTTTTAGTTAAAATCCGATTGCTTCATTAGAAGCAATACTATTTAAATACATTTGTTGGCAATACTTGTATAAATGTCAAAATTGAGATTATTGGTCAACTGGTGAGGATCATAAGGTCTTATTCTAGAACTTAAATATTTCGCCTCTAAAATCGCTCTTAATATAAAAACTCTTTGGTATATGGTCCTAAATCTAGTCTTTATATATTTCGGTATTTGGCCCCTTTGCAGTGAAATTAACTAACGAAATAAGTAATTGAGGCACGGGTTTACTGAAGTGATCTTAGAAGCAAAGGAGCCTTCGGTGTGAGCGGGTGAACAGAGACTTTATGCAGTTAAACATAGGGTTGAAAATAAAATGACCAATGAATAATGTCAGTCTTAATACACAATTATTTATACAACTCTCTAAATACGAAATATAAATAATGATTCATAATTAAAAATAAAATAATATTCTGATTACAAAAAGTATCTTATAGTCAAATGATTTTTCTAAAATAAACACACTCAATATACATTAAACAAATTGTGATTAATTTTTAACATAAGGGACTTTGGAGTTAAAAAAGCCTTTAGTTAAAGGCTGTCAAATAATTTGTTTTGCAAAGAATAGACATTTTCATACATTTGTAGGAATGTTAAAACTATGATATTCTTTATACAAATGGAATAACGTCATATGAGTAGTAAAACGTTTCTATACTCTGTGATAACATCGAGTATGGGACTGAGATCGATCTTTAAGGACTTAAGTGATACGAAAAAATATCACATTTCACTTTAGAATATGAAAATATCGCAATCTCATTTTATACCTTATTGCTTATTCGTTACAGTTCAGTTTTGTACATTACGCAAAACAATATCCTAAACCGTGCTTAAGCTACCGCTAATAAATAAGAAAATAGAAAGTGTTTTCACAAGACTATGATTCTCCTTAACAACAAATTATCCGTGTTTTTCTCGTGTGCTTTTCACCGCTCGGGAGCATTAAGCCCCTTCATATATCTGCCGATCACAAACTAAAGAAAAGGCGTGATAATAAAAAATGACAAGCTCCCACATTCCTGTATTGTTAAGTCAAAGATTCGAGTATAAAAATACCAAACAAAAGGAATTACAATGGAGTGTGCAATTTACAAAACTCACTTTAATTGTCGGATCTAATTTTTGTCAAAAACCCCAGTCTGAATTAGAAATGTATAAAACTCTTTTAGAATACTATAGTATGATTCATAACAATCACAAATGCTTAGAAAAATGTGGCAATTTTTTAAATTAGCATCTCACATCCATCATAATTCCCTCAGTCCGTTACAAGTTACACAAAAGGTCTGTCACACTCCGGCTGCACGAGGCACGAGGCACGAGGCACGAGGGAGGCGGAGCGTCAGCAAGCGCACAATCACCTCGATACTTGTGAAAAGTCCAACATTTAATTCACTATATCACAGCACTAGTCTTGCACTTCTCTGTACGGCGTCTCACTGGTCACTGTGAACGACTCGAAGTAATGGTTGAGGAACTCGAATGTCGGCCGCTTCTCCGGGATCGCGTCCCAGCACTGCAGCATCAGCCCGTAGATAGCGTCCGGCAGGTAGTGCCCCACCGGCTTCGGCATCCGGTACCCTCTCTCCACCTGCTCTATCACCTCCTTCCCGTGGAGCCCAGGGTACGGTATCTGCCCGTACGTGAACAGTTCCATTAGAAGGATACCATACGACCAGACGTCGCTCTTGATGGAGAATCTACCGTATATGATCGCTTCGGGTGCGGTCCACTTGACGGGGAACCTGGAGCCTTGCTTGGGGCAGTATTCGTTATCTTCTATCACCCTCGCCAGACCGAAGTCGCATATTTTGGCGACGTTGTTTTCTCCTATTAGCACGTTCCTGGCGGCGAGATCTCTGTGTATTAGGAGTTTGGACTCGAGGTAGGCCATGCCGGAGGCGACTTGTGCGGCGATGTACACCAGGTCCTCGAATTGAAGGGTCTTCCCGTCGCCGTTCCTGAGGAACTCGAGCAGCGAGCCCTTGCACATGTACTCCTGCACGATGTAGACGGGCTCCTGCTGCGAGCACACGGCGTACAGCGCCACCAGCCGCTTGTGGCGGAACTTCTTCATGATGGCCGCTTCTTGGAGGAACGCCTGAGTCGACATCGTGCCTTCCCTTAGCGTCTTAACAGCGACCTGGAATTATAATGATTACATTCGTTTCAATACAATTGAATAAAAATAATACCGCACCGGAACAGCTCGTTATGTATTAGGATTGAAGACAAAGAATTAATAGAGTTGGCAACTATAACAAAAGACCAAAGACTTACCTCAATGTTATTGGACCACTTGCCGTAGTAGACCTCCCCGAAGTTCCCCTGGCCGAGCTTCTTGATGAGTTGTATCTGACTGCGCGGGATCTCCCACTTGTCGCGCAGCTCGGGCCCGAGGTCCCACATCTGCGGCTCCGGCTTGGGGCACGGCCGCGCGAGCACGTGGCACAGCCCTAGCGCGTTCTCTGCGGACAGTTAGTACACTTTACATACATAAGGTTATTCACATTCAGTTAGTCACATTTATTCACGGTACCTGTTAATGTAAATTTATTACACAACTGTTAGGCATATTAGTTACATTTTCAAGCGTATTATATCTTTATAAGCCATTTATGATTCAAGTACAAAACATGCTCGAAGGACCAATATCAAAATACTGGTCCCTCGAGCCTGACATCACTAATCAAATAAAGTAAACAATCGACATACTTGTGTATGACATTACGAGCGCGGGAAGACTGGGAAATGTTTGATTGGTGGCGATGTAGAATCCTCCGTTGTCAAGAGGTTTGATCTTGTAGTGTTTGACATGGTAGCCTCTCCCCTCCTCCCAGTCTTTGACACTGAGACTGAAGCCATGTGGATTGTGCTCCGCTGGTCTCACTAAGAATGTTCCTCTGGGATTCGTCTCCGCTAAGAGTAACTTGTCGGCTTCCTTCCGTGATACGTGCGGGAAGAACCAACTGAAAACAATAAGTTACTTTGGTTAATAAAGTTTTAATACAATAATTATTATGACCGATGTAGTACAATTATTTTGAAAGAAATCGTTGTATTCATTTTGTTACGTTTTATTTTTATATAAATTAAGACGAAAACAGTATTTAATATTGTTTTGTTTCCAAACAATTTAATTATGAAACAATATTTAAGACTTCTTTGTGTATATTGTTTGCATACATTGTTTAAAAACATGATTTTTGACTATTTATATTTTGGGTGTTCTCTTCAGCAAACATACCGAAACCTTTGGTTTTAGGAACCAAGAAATTATTTTTGTATAACGTTTGAAAAGAATAAAAGGTAAATAAGTGTGTGTAGTCTAAGTCGTGTGAGTGTCAGAAATTTTTTTTATTAAAAAATCAAGTGTTCACAGTACTTGGAAATATTGTTTTATTGGACTTATCGTCAAATAAAAGATGCCATTCAAGTAACAAAGTTTATTAGCATTAAATATTTGTATAAAAGTTACAGTAAACAATTATTACTAATTGTAGCTTTTAAGTGTATTTGTGTGCTCAGTATAAATGTATTTAGAAAATTTTTAGCTTCCTCCAAAGGTGCCGCCTGTTCTTACGTGTCCGTCGGTTGTGTTGAATTTGACGGTTCTTCTCATGGATTAGTTGAACCAAATGTTTAATATCCTTGTTCCTGTACGATTAAATTTGCGATGTGCATTGTCATCGTAAAATAACTCGAATTCTCTAAGTACTCTATATTCCCTTTAGATTATTAACACTATTAATAACCCGGACAAGAGATTGACCATCAACATTGAGTGCTGTTGTTTAGAAGATATTTAATTCCCTAGGAGAAAGCCTGTGCGACTGTTTTTGTCATTCATAGAAGCACCAGTGGAAATAGTGTTTTTATTACTGTGTTAGTCGTGCATAGAAAGTGTGTGTTATTGCTGTTTGTGTTACTTACTCTTCGCATTCTACGGAGCTTTCTTCGGCGACGAAGTTAGCTGGCACGAGACCCTCGCGGCGTGTGGTGAGGTGCAGCACGCGCCACCAGTCGGGCTCGGCATCGCTCAGCACCTCCATCCGGTCGCCCTTTCGGAACGATATATCGGACTCCGCGCGCGCCGTGTACGCGCATAATGCTTTCACTACACGTCTACCGCCGTTTGATATACCTGAAATTACAGACATTAAGATTTTTATTTCTATTACATATAGGTATTATAACTAAATCAGCAACGGCAACACTCACGCAAATCATCCTGTGCGGACATCGACTATAACAGATTAATTAGCGCCAATAGCCCAATAGTTTGGCGTACGCACCACTATTCTTATGGCCGAGGGTTCGAATCCCACCATTAGACAATTGCGAACCATATCCTAGCACAAGCCTAGAGCTCAGTTGGAATGGTTGTGGTCCCCTATGAGTTTCGAACTAAGTAAACGTGAGTGTAGTCGATTTTTTTATTTATTCTTAATTTATTTAACGACGATTAATTTCCAATCCAGATTTATATGATTTTTATATGTTGAGTAAATTTAACTGACATGTGCCGGGGTTGCGTGTGCGAACGATGTCTGCGGGGCGGCGCGACACGACGCGGTTGTTGGGCTCTCCGGTGTAGCGATTCTCCAGCGAGGGGCAGGTAGTGAAGCCCGGCTCATTTTTCTTGTACGCCGGGTACACTGCAACAACAAATTGAATACTATGATTGCAAGCTACATTGAGTGCAAGTTACAAGATTGATAATAATAAATCTTCGATGAAAGATGGAGATAACACAATTTAATCAATTATAATTGTATAATCTTACTAATGTAACTTCTTACTAATATTATAAAAGTAAACTGTAAAAGTTCGGATGGATGGATGTTTGTTAGGGTTTGTAGCCTAAACGGCTCAACGGATTCGGCACAGATGTAGAGGAAAGTCTGGAAGAAAACATAGGCTATTCACTTTTGTTTATTTTAATTTCACACGGACGGAGTCGTGGGCGAAAGCTAGTGTATTATAAAATGTTGATTAATTATTCAATATGAAATATCTAACAACATTAAATTAATATCTTGACACAGAAGTAACAAAAAGCCGGTATACGTCGAGTCGAGCAGGCAGCGGTGTTCGCTATAAAATCGCAGTGATTACTCTTGACCGCAGGTAAATGGGTCTCTGGCCTCATTTGAACTTCATTATCGCAACTAAACAGTTACTAACGACTCGACTTTATTATAAAATTTAGCTGTAATTTTGTACATTGCGTATATCTATACTAATATTATAAAGAGGAAAACTTAGTTTTATTGTATGAATAGGCCCAAAAGCTACTGCTCCGATTTTAAATATTCCTTCAACGTTAGAAAGGTAATTTATCTATGTGTAACATAGGCTGTATTTATTCATTTCTTTATTATTATTTTTAAATTTCACGCGGCCGGAGTCGCGGGCAAAAGCTATTATTACAATAAAAGAATATTTTCCTCGCCCCTAATATGTGAACATAGGTTAAACTTGAAACGAATTTCTGTACATATTTATATATTTTTTATATTGTTAGGTATTAATCGCGTTGTTAATTTTATCGCTAACAAAGCGAAATAAATTACACCTAACCATTCAATTACATCACAGAGAAATTCCTTAAGAAGTATCAAAGTTTTGCCGTTCTTTACATCATTACGCCCACAAAGGATACATTCTTTGTTTTACGAACATTTCGTAGCTCGCCTGAGGTAACAGAATAACGGAAGTTTAATCCTCTTTACGGTTTCCTTTGGTATTAGGAAGCGATATCATATTATGTGTAAGCCTTTCATCGATAAGTTGGTATATATTATTCATGTTTCATAAGACAAAATACCAAGAATTTAAATCTACACAAATAAGACTCGACGAATAAAGTTCTTCGGAGATCCCTAATTTTAGTCCCTTTACCTTTCCACCCTTTTCTTAACAGAGAAGGATAGCAAGGAAAAGTGAATTTGACATTGGAGTAGACACAAAGGAAAGGGAAATATCCTCTTTACGTGCGTCTCCTCCGTCAATTAAGGGTAGCAACGCATCTGCAATTGCTGATGTTTATGGGCAGCGGTCGCTTTCGATTATTTAAAAAAAAAATGTTTAAATCATAAATACTTTACTAACATCAAATGATGTCTTATTCTACAATAAATTTCTTGCAACAACAATATGACCTTCCTCGATATGTGACATTAATTTTGTTTGACTAATTTGATTACTATATTATTCTTTTTATACTCCATACGCAAGTACGAAATAATAAAAAAATAAATTAAAAACCGATAACCGTAACTCGATGTATAAAAGTTAAATTGGTTGTACCACATTGGTCTATCAGTCAATCTGTTCGAACTTTCACCAAGTTACCAAGTTAGTTGAAAAAGAAAACTCTAGCGGCGGCTAGGGATTTAAGTTTTGTTAAATCTTTCCGCCCACTTTAGTCGCAATTCAACTTTATGAAGTGAGTATAGATTTGCGCTTGAGACGTCCAGTGATGGAACGGTGGTCTGGGAAAATATTAACGAGGGGAATAATCTATTAAGAAGTCGTTTTTCTAGTATCAGTAGAAATACAAATTAATATCAGCTTCGCATGTTTAATGTTGTATGTATTAAAGGTACACGTTTAAGTAGAAACATCGAGCACTCATGGGGTCTTATTCTGACGTTGTGTGCATAGAAAGATAAAGAGTTCCTTTTCTAAGAATCGCGATTCTGAAGACAGAATAAGAACGCGATGAGGGACTTTATATGCAAACACGAGATAACATGAAATGCTTACATAACGAATGTGCGTGTTAGACTTTTTAAAAAAATATAAAATAGCGATTAAAAAGGTTTTTTCTAGTCTATGGATTTTAGATTGAACTCGAGTTTGACTCTTTTCCATAAAAGTCCATAAAAGCTATTACGACTTTCGCAATACAAGCTTATACTTTAAAGTTTGCGGAATCGTACTGGGGTAGTAAGGGATCTCTCACGTCACGACTTTTTTAGTGAGCAATTAATAACTAATTATGGCAGTTAAAGTGGTTTAACTCACCTAGTGGTCTGTCTGGGTCATGGCGGCGGCTGCAGCACTTGTTACCCATGGCGCGGCCCGCCCGCTACGCCGCGCCAAGCTGCTCCTGATAACAAAAACATAAATACTTAGGAAATAGATTGGAATGGAGAAGTGTTACTGAAATGGATATAAACAAAAGGATGATATCTTTCTGAACGTCTCCCTTGTTCAACAAAGGACAATAATGGATCAGTAACCTCAACTTGAAGATTCTTACGGGTCACTACGGTGATGGTTGCGGTGGTAATTAGCCACCTTATATTATAAAACAGTCCATGTTTACACTAAACGTGACAACGTCTTCCGTCTGTAAGCAGTCAATATAAACTATAGTGTATATTGTAACTTAAACATTCCACGTAAATATTGTCACATTTGGTATATGACAATCCGTTTGGTTAGAACACATGTATAAATTCACTTATTACAAACATAGAAACAGTAGAATTTCTAAAATGTAAACGTCTAAACACATGCAAATACACACGGATTTACACGGTTGGATACTTTATATATAGTACAGTTTGATATAATTTATATATATTTTTCTAATGATCGCACACAACACGACTGTATATTGAAATAACGCGAAGTGATACCTTTACACCACAAACACTTATATATATGGTCAATAATATAATACTATGAGTTTTGCATTGTTTTATTTACCAATATACCTTTCTTCTATAAACAATCATGTTTACTTGAATATTTCTATAACATGGAGTTTACCATTAAATGATTAAGCGAAACACCTTTGTACAGAGTTAAACAAATGAGTGTACATATACGTTTATATTTAGTTTACTAATGATTCATTATATGCTTTGATACCACATTATTGTATCAAATGTATTATTAATTAACTGGAAATGTGTCGCGTCTAATATCAATCATTACAAAATCTACCTTGGAAGCAAACGGCTGAATTACAAGGTTTATAGGTGATGATATTAGCAGTCGTAAAACAGATTCAATGTAAGTGAAATACATTTATTTACCTCGATTTAATTGATCGTTGCACAACTAACAAATTAGACAGAATTCCTATATTTTTTGTAGGGTTTTTTGAGACTTTGTAGGTAAATTTGCAAACAGCTTTAGTTCACAATTTGCCGGTGACAGTTAATATGTGTTGTTCGATATACGGGCGGTTGATTTTACAGTTTGCATTAAGTGTTTTACGCATCTTAGTGATTGTAAGAGTATTTGAATTTCAACACAAGATATTTATTGTTGTACGTTAAACCGGCTCAAAAAATACAGAACACGGAACAACGGTCATACCAACGCGTCCCTAATAAAATCAAAATCAATAATAATACTTTGTTCTTTCGTAAAACCTTATTCTAATTCAAAAATACATTACATAATTCAAAAATACATACATTTTACATAATACACAAGTATATACGTATAAAATAATAACCAAATTCGGCACATGCAACGGATCATCTTAATTCGATGGCATCTGTTATCAATGGGAGTTTAATCCTATTACATTAATTACAGCGTTATCGAGCTATGATATCGGTTGCCGGCCCTATCGCTCAGTTCCCACGACTCACAGATTTTGATGCATAGCTACATAGTAAGTGCCTAAATCAGGACCTTACCATAAAAATCTTACCACAATGTTTCACATAATCTTACTACTTACTAATAAATGTGATTCAGATAAGGTATGTACTCTAAACGGCTGAATGGATCATGATGAAATTTAGACTAGATGTAGGTGATACCAGACAGGTTACTTTTTTTTTAATTCGCGACTTACGGGCGTAAGCCAGGTATTATAAACAAATGTTAGATCTTTTATACCTTCTCTCGAGGTCCTTGCGCGAATTTTAACAAATAATGGCTATTGAAACATTTTGCGTAGGCTTGCATAATGCTACTGGACAACGGTAAATCTAGCTTTTTTAATTACGTCAGTGTTGTCAGCTGCAACATTTGTACGCGGCAGCGATATTGTTGAAGAACTTTTAATGATGAATGGAACAAGCAGTAAGGAGATTTTACGAATTTTGTTTTCATAACTTTTTGTTATTGTTCACAGGAGAAGTTTCTTCACGAATAACCGTCGGGATTGTCAAATTAGGTGCAGTGACGAACTTCGTATATCCTACTTACGATTTTTATTTTGTGCTTATTTATTGTTATTTTGAATCTATTTTAATTATATGTTGTTCCAGATAAGATAGTGAACGTGCATTCGATTAGTGAAGTAAGACTCCGGTTGCAAGAGCCTCAGTAAGCGTGTTAATTCCATTCTAAATATGTAATGTGAAATAAATTCGTTTAGTTTTTGGGGATACGCCTCTAGCGAGGCGCGCCAGGGAAGGTTCGTTTAGTCAATAAACCCTCGCGTGTGTCGAATACACAACTATGTTCCGCCTCAGTGACGTCACAGTACAAATACAATCCATATCAATGTGTACTTTAGATAATCGTAGATTTGTCAAAATTGTTTAAGAACATTCAAGTATATTCAAGAATATTGAAATCAATTTGAAAAGTGTTATATACTTAACGAAAATTAATCCAAATTTACGAGATCGAAAGATTCATACGAAAAATAGTATATGTATATTTTTAAGGATATTTAACAGTAGTGGAAATTGACGGTTTGATGCTACTTGTGTTGAAATTATATTTACTTGAATGACATGAAACTTGACGTAAATGATTAGACAATATTTAAAACTACATATTTCATAGTAGATTTTTTTAAAAAACAAACCCAAATAGATCGGATCAATAACTCAGTTTGTTTCAGTAAAATATTAGATAATACAGTTGATGTTTTATTTTGATTAATTACATGTTATATTACTTCGCAATACTTAACAATAATAAATTGCTCTCTAGGACAGGAGCAGTTCGCAATGACGGGAAATTAAACAGCTTCTGAAAACCTGAACGTAATAAAAGCCCGTTACAGCTGAAAAATAGCTCAGCGAGACTGCAAAAACACTGTTCAGACGTAAGCTATTATCTTTTAATTTACAAACAGAAAGCAGCAGGAATGTGAAAGGAAAAAGAAATCACACATTGACACTATTCGAGCATTTAAATTGTCTATCCTCCGCCTACTACTTTACAAAGCGCAAGTTCGGCCCCACATGGAGTACTGCTCGCACCTCTGGGCGGGAGCACCCCAATACCAGCTTCTTCCATTTGACCGCATACAACGGAGAGCGACTCGAATCGTCAACGACCGAGCTCTTACCGATCGGCTAGATCCTCTGGCCTTGCGGAGGGACGTCAGTTCCCTCTGCATTTTTTACCGCATTTACCACGGGGAGTGTTCCGAGGAGTTGTTTGGAACGATTCCTGCCGCCGAGTTTCGTCATCGGACGACACGACAGACCGCCAGGTACCATCCTCACCATCTCGATGGCTGGCATTCCACAACCGTGCGGTTTTCGCGGAACTTCCTGCCCCGCACAGCCGCGTTGTGGAACGGTCTGTCCTCGGCGGTATTTCCAAACCAATACGACTTAGGGTCCTTCAAGAAGCGAGCCTATCATTTCCTCAAAGGCCGGCAACGCATCTGTAGTTCCTCTGGTGTTACGAATGTCCATGGGCGCCGTTGACCACCTTGGTGTTCACGCCGCTCGTTTGCCCCCTTTTTTTTATAAAAAAAAAAAAATCGCCTCAGTAGTTTTCGGGTTATTCCAATACATACAAAAATACAAATCTTTCCTATTTATATTAGTATCGATAAGAGTAAATTGCGTAGAACAACATTCAATTGTTTTTCGTCTCTTCATCTATGCGTCAAGAATAAAGACTCAAACGTAATCTTTCATTCTATGTGGTTTACAAGAATCAATGTAGATATTTAAGTAAATTTCATACTAAAAACTCTAAAATAGTCTTTCAAGCGACAAAAAAATCTAACAAGTAACAGACACATAATCGTAAAACATTAACCAAAGCGTTACATAATATAGCCATGTCTCATAGCGTAATAACTTCGGGAATTGGCTGAGAGACTTGAACCGAATCGAAGACGAAAGTGGACTTTTGGGCTGCGCTGGGTGAGAGAGGTTTGAGAGGAGCGCGGGCGGCGGGACGCCCCAACCACCTGTTGCCGCCAATCAATAACACCACCATCGTACCATTGTTCCCTAAGCCCTCAAACACAGAGTAATATACTGAGAATGAGCAATGCACTTACTAAATGCACTGATGATGCAGTTTCCATATAAGTAACAGAATTTATTTAGTTGTTCTACAGGGACAAAGGCGTAAAGTACAATAAAAAACTTTATGGAGAGTAAAATAGTTATCAAACTATATTTGCATATTAACTTAAGTAATAAAAATTTGTCTTTTCAATTTTGTATTACGCTTTAATTCAGTTTTAAGCTTGGATTGGCCGTTTGCATAAAAGCGATTAAGCTAAAATTTATGAACAGTTTTAAAATGTATTTTTCTCGTAGACGAAATAGAAAAAAAAGAATTTTCATTTTTTAAAAACTGGGTCGCCTCGAGAAGTATAAATAGCTTTAATATGCTTTTTAAGCATTGCTCCAGTTTCTGAGGAAGATCTGAATTGTATTTTGTCAATTTAGATTATTATGTAATAAGGAAATCTTAACGGCGATATATTTTTGTTTCATATAAGGAAATTATTTTAATAACCATATTATGAATAAAAGATAAAAACAACCTATTTATTAAATAAGTTGCTTTTTATCCAAATTACTGTATAGTTTTAAATTAACATTTTTGGCGTTGTATAGGGATTAATTTTTTTAAACCATTATGTTTCTGCCCATTGAAGTACAATACTGTGAATAAATCACATCGAGAAAGTAATCGTTAGCAAACACGGCAGCGCAATAAAGGGGATTCACGAAATCCCTCGCAAACGGGAGCTCGGGATAAGAACAATCGATACGTAACCCTTAATGGATGCTAAAAATTAACAACGATCCTATCTGCTGTAAACACCTGAGTACACATTTTTTAATATTTATAACAGAAAAGGCATTACATTGCAAGACAGTTAAAAGGGTTGAGTTTTAAAACAGTGGTTTTTGTTGGTACCGT